AGAGGCAAACAGTGTTAGAAACAAAGTAGGGGAGGAAGGGTTGGTCCTGCAGTGTTGAAGTGGGAGGAGGGGAGAATAAAGGGGAGAATTCCCCAAGTGAGAAATACCCGCAACAATGCTTCATGGTTTGAAAATGTGTAAGCTATTTCTTTATCTACGAGTTTACCGATTTTAATTGTATTCAAAAAGAGATAGTAAGGGTGTGAGTTACACAGGTGTATCCATTTCCAAATTATATAGCTAAAAACTGTATATGTATATATATCTCCTACAGTTTTTTAATATATAAAATATATGTACATATACAAAATGTATGTATTTATGTTTGTGTATAAAATTTTAAAAAATGATAGGCCCCTTCCACCATGTGAGAATGCAGTGAGAAAGCACAACCTATGAACCAGGAAGAGGGCCCTCCCCAGAGAAAGAGAGAAAGAGAGAAAGAGAGAAAGAGAGAAAAAGATCATGCTAGTGCCTGGTTTTTAGACTGCCATCCTCCAGAACTGTGAGGAGTAAATTTCTGTTGTTTTTTTAAAAACACAATAATTGAGTAAGAAAGGAATGTGTATGAAAGTACAGATGGATGAGCAATGGCAGATCATTGAGGCTAGGTGATGGGTACATGAGGGTTCATCATACTATTCTGTTTACTTTGTATTTGAAAATTTCTACAATATTTAAAAATGCCTTCAACAATCTTCTTTGTTATTAATCCACCCAAGGTCTGATACTACCTTTTTCTCCATGACCTCAAACTGAGATGGAAGCAATGAATGAGTTACACGGTATCCACATTCTTGGTTGTTCCCAACAGTGGAGTCCTGAAGCTGAGACAGAGGAAGTTATCCAGGAGGGGCATTTCTCCCATAGTTACACAGGACACTCAATCAGAAGGGATCTAAGAGAGATGGTAGATGGTGGATGTGTGTCTAAAATATTTATTAAATCCAGTATTATTTAAATCCAGTATTCCACAGATTTCTCTAGGAAATCTGTCAGAACTTTCCAGAAGCCTGTGAAGGTACAATAATAAGAGGTTTGTGCTTGTTATTTCAGTTTTGCATTGATAATTAAGGAGGCAGTAAGACCTGTACTTACCCAGAAGATGCCTGATGTTGTAAATTACTAATAGAGAAGTTGGGGTGGCAACAGCCGGCAATTCAACATGTGTGGTTTGCTTTCACAGGAAGCCACAGACTAATCTTTGAGGCCCAACCCAGCTTGAAACCTGTAGAATTGCTTGCTCAGGGCTAAGAATTTAAAGGCTTGCTGGTGAGGAAATGGCTCCCCATCATCCACCTCCTCATTAACAAGTCCAGAGTGAGAGTGTGCAGCCAGAGGCTGAGCTTGATGTCTAATGGTATGAGGTGGAACTGGAGCACTGATGTTAACACAGTATGGCACAAAGGTATTCTACTCCTGAGTCTTCAAGAAACTATACGATATTGGACAATGCACCCGACTGAGCTAGCTATACTTTTGTTTTGTCTGTAAAATGACCTGGTTGAATTCCAAAGATTCCTTTCATTTCTAAAGTTCCGTGATTTATTTGCCATAGTTAAAGTTTCAGTCACCCATTATGTGGGCTAATTATCAATAAGGAAGGATTTTTCTCTGCTCATGCATTACCAAATTCTCCACAGGAGTCAGTCTCACAAGCAGAGAGAATGGTAACGATTTCTCTGCGGTCACTTACAGCATGAGATGGAATCCCATTTGCTAACTTCTTACTAGCTATAGATGGCATTTCCTGAAATTACACTAGAAGAGATTTGTTTCTTTGAATTTGGGAGTTTCTTTAAGAATCCCTTATTAAAATGAAATGTCCTTGGATGGCTATTCGGTACTTAGCATTGATTTCAAACTTTATTGAAATAGTCCATTAGATAGGTCTTGTGGGCAGAAGGAAGGAAAGGGCTGAAGAAGAGTACAAAGGCACTTATGTGAATCCAGTGCACTTTCTTGGGCTCTACTGCCCTAAGTGATGGGCCACGAGTTTCAACATGTAACTCTGAAGTCCCTTACATCTCTGTTATGAACTGAATGCTTGTATCCCCACCTCCAAATTTACATGCCAAAGCCCTCAGCCTCAATGTAATGGTATTTAGAGATGGAACCTATGGGACGTAATTAAGGTTAATGAGGCTATGAGGGGGGTTCTCATAATGGGATTAGTGCTCTTTAAGAGGTGACAGGAAAGAAAGAGTTTGCTCTGTTTCTCTCTATATTCACACACCCAGAAAAGTCCATGTGAGCACACAGCAAGAAGGTAGCTACCTGAAAGAGAGCTCTCATCATCCAGATCTTGCTGGCTGTTAATGTTGGGCTTTCATTTTTCAGAACTGTGAGAAAACAAATTTCTTGTTTGAGCCATCCAGTATGTGGTATTTGGCCATGGCAGCTCAAGCTGACTAGTACAATTTTTTAAAATCCCTCCTGGTATTAACCAAGAGACACTTTGCCAAAGTAGACATGAAAGAAATGTCCCTAAAACATTTGACAAGAGATTATTCTTAAAACCTATTCCTCTTCCAGAGAACACCAGGCTGGTCTTTCTTCTAGTGCCATTGCTCAAGTTGAATACTTTTGGGTAAAGTTCATTACTTTCAGATAATGCATCTCATCAAAGTGATTGCATTTTCTAAAACAAAACAAAACAAAAACAAACCACTTCTCTCTTAACCTGTTCCACATGTGAAGTAGGTTTTCTAACTTGATATGTGTTAGAGCTGAAAAGACTATCAAGGATTTTAAAAAAATTATCAAATTTTCAAACATGCTCTAAAGAGAATGGTACAAAGAAAACCCATATATTCATCACTCAGATTCAATGATTACCAAGATTTTGCTGGGGAAGATTTTAAAGAAAAATTTCAGCAATAGACAAAATGTTATATTTACAAAGTACTAAGTATGCCTTGAGAAAGTAAACTCACTATTTTATGGGTTGTAAATAAACTATCAAGCTATTAAAAAACCTATCCAATCCTTCTTCAACTACATGTAGAGGTAAATTTGGCCTAAGCTTTAAAAGATGTATTCTTTAATAAAATGAAAACATGAAATATTCAGTGATAAACCTTTTTGCTTTCAGTAGGTTTTTGATGTTTTCTTCTTTTTGCAGAATCTCAAGACCGGGTTTCCCAGGAGAGGGCTCCACCGATAGACAAATTCTCCCTCTTCATATCCAAATTCTTTGTAACAGTTTCCTGAGGGAGAAACCTAGGGGCATTTATTCTCCCAACCCTACTGCATCCTGTCATAGATTCTCATCTGATTCTTTTTATCATCACCATTAAATCCTTAAAGTGTCATCATTTCTACACTTGATTTTTAGAGCCTACTCTTGACTGAATTCAAACAGCATCGTTTCCTTATAATTCTACAAGGACCTATGCCAGCTGACATGTTTATATCACCCCTATCTTTAAAATAATTTACTTCTACTTCCCAGTAAAGTAAATTTCTTCTTCTACTAGATCATCGACTAGACTTACCTGGGTTATCTCAGGTCACTTCTTTTTTCCTTGCTTCCTTCAACTTACCTTTCCTTTCCCCCAGTGAGTGGTCTTCAGGGCTGTGACATGGAACTTTCTCTTCTACACCAGCCCTTTGCTTAGAAAGTTCTTCCTTGTAAATTCTTTGTCAAATCTCTCTTCCCCCTTTTTTGTGTCTCTTTAAAGTTACATCCACAAAAACAAAACAAAAAAACAAACAAAAAAATCCCTGGCCAAGGCTGCCTGGAAGAGATGAATTTCCTCCTCTCCTCAGTCATGCCCAGCATGATAACCAGGGCTCAATAAGTTGCACAATGCATTTGTTAACCTATTGTGGGGGCTGAGATTTAGTGTTTGGGAGATGGTTTAAGGGGTTCCAGATGTTTTTGAGGCACATCCTGTAAAAATACACTATTAAAAATTAAACTGTAAGACTTAAGAGTCCATGTCTACTTACATTCTTCTTTATTAGTACTGAATATATTAGAATTTGATGTTTTGGGTAATGAATGGAATATTTTGTGATAACATGAGAGTGGGTAAGAAAAAGACTATGAACTAGTTCATAGCATCTTCAGGAGTCTATTTTTATGGTTTTAATACAGAAGCACTGTCCCAAATGAACCTAATTGCTGGCATCTCAACCATTAGTATGATTTCTGCTGTTACTCAGTAGTTCATGGTTGTATGTTAAAATCAATGACATTCCTGACATAGGACCTAAAGCAAAAAAGATAGCTTTGTAGTACCACCTAGTGGCTAACTCCTTAACACACGTTTTAAATGGATTACTATGTAGATAGGTAAGTAGACAAAGTATTAGCAAAACATGCATTTTTGATGTATATATAATCATATGTGTAACAAATACATGAGACAGTGGAAATTCTCAGTCTCCCTTGACCTGCTAAATTAAAGGATCTCACTTTCCTAATTCCATCATCTAGTAGAGTACTTATACTATCATTTGATTAATTACTAGTTTATTGCCTGTCACTTCAGTTTAGAATTTCCAGATGAAATACAGATACTCGGTTAAATTTGTATTTCAGGTAATGAATAATTTTTTACTATGTGTTCCCAAATATTGCATGTGATATTCACAGGCTAAAATTTTTTTTGGTATCTGAAATAAAAGAAAGCTGGGCATCTTGTTTTGTCCCCCCCCCCCCCCCCCAAACTTAGCAACCCTACTACCCCCACTGAATGAGTATCTTGGATGTAGCATAGTGCTTGCCAGGCACAGAGTAGGAGCCTACTCCTGATTACTAAATGAATGAACGAAGAAAGGATTCAACACAATAATGAGTGCTTGAGTTAGGGTATGAGTAAGAGCCCCCCGGTGCTGAGGGTGGATGGGGGCAGGAGATGACCCAGAGGATCTGCTCGGTGGGGAGCGCTCGAGTAAGAGGCAGCGATCAGGAGGTGAAGGGCAGCCGGCGCGCTGAGGTCACGGGCGCCGGCAGCTCTGGTGACGTCAGCACGCTTGCTGTCTCCGCCGCGCCAGGGTTTTAGTGGCGCCGGTGCCGCCTCGGTTTGTAGTGGTGACTGATTGGGGCTTTCTGGTGACTTAGGCCCACGGCACCGTCAGTGGAGCCGTCAAGTCCCGGGGGTGGCCCCCGAACTCCGCTGTCCTCTCCTTGGCCGTCAGCCCGCAGGCCTGGCTGCTTCTCGGCGGGGTGACCATCTCCTCAGGGCCATGTCCAGGCCTAGCAGCGTCTCCCCGCGGCCGCCGGCTCCAGGCGGCGGCTGCGGTGGCGGCGGCGGCCCGGCTCAGTGTGGCCCTGGGGGCGGCGCCCGGGCCAAGGGGCTAAAGGACGTGCGTATAGATGAGGAGGTGAAGATCGCAGTCAATATCGCCCTGGAGCGCTTCCGATATGGGGACCAGAAAGGTGAGGCTCCTGACAGGGACCCCGCCGGCTGCCCCGCGTCCCCACACCCGCAGCCCTGTGCGGAGGCGCTGCCTCCGACGAGGGAGGGAAGTGCGGAGCCTCGCGGCGACCTGCGGATCTGTAGGGCTGCGGGCGGCACTCGCGACGGATCGGAGGTGGAAAACTAAGGTTGCGCTCTGGCCGGAGGCGTTTCTTTTTCCCCTGGGCGAGGCTCTGTGGAGGCTTTGGGCGGCTCAGCCACCGCGTTTAAGTATTGATAAGCCTGTACTTTTTTTTTTTAAGAGAGTTGTGGTAGCCTTACAGGAGTGACATTTAAGCTACAGAAGAAGAGCGGAAGGAAATTAGACTAGTAGATGCACTGGCAGTGTGTAGTGCTTTAAATCCTAGAACCTTAACACTTAAAAAAATCAAACTTGCTTTGGCATTTGAAAGGGCTTGCCTGTCTCCTAAGGTTAGAGAGCTACTCGTCTTGGGTCACACAGTGCAGACCCAGGCTCATTCCGATTTGCTGTCCTTAAGTCGGGGACCCTTAACTCTGGAAGCTTACAGCCCCAAATTGGGAATGAGCTGGACGGAGTGATTCTGAACTTACTCTGAACAGAGGTACAGCCTCAGCCATAAGTAACAACAAATCGAGCTTGAGCTAGTGAGATAGGAAGTCTCTACTGTTGTGAAGGCAAAGACCCTGGAGTTTGATGTTGCGCATTCATAACGCTTGAGCATACCTCACCATGGAAGGAAGTAAACGTTTTGTTCATTAAGCAAGTAAGGACTAAGTTAAAACAGTGAAATATGTTCATCAGTTATCGTACCAACTCAAGATTCAAAGTAAGTAGAATCTTTGGTGGACCATTAGATTCCTTTACACTTAGATTTAATTTTTTAAATATCATACCATAGATTCCATTTTTATTAATGACATTAATATAACTATACTTAATATCACAATTTTATTAATATAACAGTGTATCAGCTTTAATTTTATTCATATTTTATTAATATCAATACTAGACATTCAGTAGTTATTGAATATCTACTTTTCACATAAAATATAATAAATTTGTATGCTTATGGTTTTTTGTATTTTATATTTATGTATGCATATTGAAGCACCTTGAAAGAAAATAGCCTGTCCCCAAATGGTACTTTGTGTATTTTTTTTCTCGTAGAAATGGAATTTCCTTCTTCTTTGACCAGTACTGAACGAGCCTTTATTCATCGATTGAGTCAGTCTCTTGGTTTGGTCTCTAAAAGTAAAGGGTAAGCTGATAGCTTTTCTTATTTAAAGAAAATTATTTACCAAAATTAGAGAAATGTTTCCAACTACATTTACATTGTTATTACTATTTTAGATTTACACCCTTAATTATATAGTATGTACATAAACTGATTCATGTCTGTGCCAAACTCACTCTTTCCTTTTCCACCTGTGGTCCCCGCTCTTTTTGTTGTTGTTGTTTTCTCTAGGGACAAAAAGAGGTAAACTTTAAGAGGTCAGAAAAAATAGTTTAAAAATTGAAGTTGCTTGAGAAAAATATTTTCATATTTCATTGAAACTAAATCTATTTTTTTGTAAAGAATGGGTGGACGAAAGATAATAAGAATAATTATTTGCAGAATTTCTCTCTCTTCATGTTGCTGTACTGTAATGGTGAGCACTAGAACACACGTTGATTGTTTTCTTTCCTACCAACTCAGGAATCTGATGATTAGAACCAATTAAGTGAAATGGAATAGGAGGAAACAGTACATACTTTTTTTGATAGTCACTCATCAATATTGGGGAAAGGTCATTTTTAGCCATACAAATTGAAGAAGTCTAAAATTCTGTGGAACTATTTCATTTTGAGGTTAACATATAGCAGGGTTTCTCAGTATTAGAGCTATTTTTATTTGGACTGGATAATTTTTTTTTTTTTATTTGGAGGGCTGTTTTCTGCACTGTAAGATGTTTAAGCCTTTACCCCTATAGATAGCAGTAACACCTCCATCCCAAAATGACACTCTGGTCATTACCAGAATATTACCTGGGGAACAAAATTGCCCCTGGCTAAGAACCATTGAGAGGGAGGAAAAAGGATAATATTTCAGCTTACTAGTTTTTAGATTAAGAGGAGGAAAACAATACTTTATTAAGTAAATATATTAATAAATAAATAGTAGGAGGGTTCTAAAGTGAAATTAGCTTAGGTAGGTATGTCTTGCATATGAATGGCCACTGTAGCGATACATTACTGACGGGGGATTTAGTTTAGGTGAATGTGCATTTTGAACATCGCTGAGCCAGGGCTAGAACAGTGGCTAGGTTCCTGAGCACCCCCATACTATAGTCATCTGAACAGGTGAAATACTGTACTTGGAAATAAAAAGAGAGTACAGGGGAATAATCTTTTACCCAAAAGCACCCGGATCAAATAGGTGTTGAGATTCAGATTTTTCTGATTTTAGAAAGGTATTAGGGTATATTTGCAATATGTGACATAATACCCCTAATAAGGTGTAGGCATCCTCTTTAATCACATTAATATTTCTACTGGAAAATATGTGAATATTCACACTAAGATAAATAAAGCCTAGAAATAGCCATGTCAATTTAATCAGGCTTTGCTGCCAGTTACAGTTGCTGCAGACTTGTAAGAAAATTTTCAGAGCTGTTTGGATTTAAGAGTTGCAGATGAGAGGTTGCGAGCCTGCACTTAGAAAACCTCTGTTATAAGTGCACAATTCTGCAGCTGTAACCACAGTCTATGGTTAAATGAGTTTTGAATTCTGAAGGATTAACTTAGAAATGACAATTAGAAATTACTCTTAGAAAAAGTCTATTAGAATACTACTTCTGTTCAATAGCATGATTGTTTAAGGGATGGTCCAGAATGGAGAAATATCTGGGGAAGGGGCTAGCAAGAAAAGTTACCAGGACAAAAAAAGGGATAAAGAAACACTGAAGAGGCATAGAGTGAGGAGAAAGGAAAAGAGATGCTAAGGGAAGCAAGGCACTCTTCCTACTTATCCAGTCCCTAATACCAATATTTATTTCTCCACAATACCTCTTACGACATTTCCTAGCTTTTTCTCCTTCCCTTTTTAACTTAGCAAACGTAGTACAAAGTTTATCTAGTGGTTCTTGTGATTTTCAAATGCTTTTTCTTCTTTCCACATTTATAAAGACCTACATCACTTTAAATATACTTCTTAAATCTTTTATTTTAATTTATATGAGAATTTATTCCTGACATATTTCATGGGTTTTACTGTTCACCAATGAGTAAAGATTTTTTTTAACCTCCTAGTATTAACTTCATTAATTAGGAAGATAGTTTTTCTGCTTTTTAAATTTTGTGCCTGGTATTATTGTTCCTTTATACATATTTGTGAGAGAACCTGGTGGAGAGGAAAGGTCAGGAAACCTTGATTCCTATTCTCTCACAGCCCCATCCTCTAGCTTTGGTCAAGTCCCTTAAACTGTAAAGGTCCATTTTCTTAAATGTAAAATATAAAGGAGTTAATTTCTTTGTTTTAGTTAAGATTCTATGATTCTGTGATTATTTTGAGCTGCTTCTAAGGTTTTAAAAATAGATTCTAGGCTTACTGTATGAAAATTTATAATTTTTTCTCATCACTTTTTTTTTATCTCCCTTTTTTAAAAAATGAAGCCATGTGTTTTGGATTTTGTTTTTCATCTCCTCCGAAAGGGTGAATTTACTTTGCAATTGATTATTTTTTATACTTGCTTGTCTTTTGGTGAAAATGCTATTTTTGGAATAACACCTGCATTTTGTGTGTATTCTTTAGTATATCCTAAACGTTTTTTTGGAATTATAGTCAAGTTTTTTCCATAACAAAAATGTCACCTCAGAATTTTTTTGGTTTTGAAAGCATAACTTTCTGAACAAAACAAAATTTCTTTTTTATTCTTCTTAGTCCAAGTTAGAAAAAATAAAATTTACAAAATGAACTTTGTTAAAAACTTGTGCAAAGATAAAATAGAAATTTTATGAAAGTAAGTTTTCCAAGTATAGGTTTCTTAACCTGTGATTGCTGAAGTCACTGCTTAATAGGCATCCAAGTGCTCTACTCCCCCTGACCAGGAGGCTCCACCCTACACAAAAGCCCTCCTTTTCAGACTTGGGTTATTTACTGCCTTCCTTGCCTTTTGCCAGGGAAGGTTGCATGCTGCACTTCTCTATTTTCCCCTAGCTAAAATAGGAAAAATGGGTTAAGAGTGATGAACTCTTCAGGAATTTTTAGACATTCCTTGAAAGGAAAAGCTTGGGGTGCACAATAATGATAGTAACATCAGGTAACATTAATTAGGGGTTCTTATGTAACAGGCATGTGATAGGTGTTTTAAGTAGATTATCATTTAATCCTCACGGTAATCTTACATGGTAAGCTTTATTATTTTTTAAGATTTTATTTGTTTATTTTTAGAGAGGGAAGGGAGGGAGAAAGAGAGAGAGAGAGAAACATCAATGTGCGGTTGCTGGGGGCAGTGACCTGCAACCCAGGCATGTGACCTGACTGGGAATCGAACCTGCGATACTTTGGTTCGCAGCCCGCACTCAATCCACTGAGCTATGCCAGCCAGGGGTAAGCTTTATTATTAACATCTGGTATCTGTATAACAGATGAAGCAATTCAAGCTTGGAGAGATTAATTTTCCCAGGATCACACAGCTAGAGCAAGTGGCAGAGCCAGGATTTGATCATAGTTAATGTTTAATTAATTTTTTATGTTCACAGTGAGTTCATAGCAATGTCCTGGGAGCTGTGAGTAGTCACAGAAAGAACAAATTTACTACAAATATAGTGTCCATGACATGAAAGCAACTGTGTTTAGTGACAAAGTTAACTGGTTGGTTTATTAATTTCTAGGTATTCATAAAAAAGTACAAATTAATATGATAAAAGCTTTAATAAATTTGCAATTTTATATTGCAGTATTGGGGAGAAAACGGTTTGGAGTTAGATCTTTTCATCTATCTGTCTAACAGAAGTATAAATTAAGGAGATATGAAATTAAGCATCTACTAGGCATCAAACTTGTGTATGTTATTTTTTTAGAAACATTAGCTCCTTGGTGGCTGTGAGCTTTTTAAGTAGTCATCTTAGGTTTTGGCTCTTTACCTGATATTTTAAACTGTTTACAGATGTGGAAAGTGAGGAATAGTGATTCATATGGTTGTTATTTGAGTATCTTAAATATTCAGTAACATACTGTGTAAATTGATAAACATTAATATTAAAATTGCATCAAATTTGACTAGTTAGAGCAGATCATTTTTTCTTTCAAAGGAAGAAGACATTGAAATGCCAATACTTCATCATAGCATGTATTGATTACTTTTACCTTTTGAAGTTAGAAGTTACGATGTTCTTATCTGTAATTTTCATACACTTATTCTTTTTAAAAATTGCATATGGGGCTTTGCATTTTATTATTTTTAAAAGTATATATGAAGTTCAGTTATCTAGCATCTTTTCCACATCTTGTAGCTAGTTTCTAGTTAATTTTGGTTTGTAAAGGAGACTCTTATGGTTTTCATCAAAGCATGGTGTCAGTTATTTTGGAATGAAAGAATAATGAGATCTCAGTGTGTTAGTTTACACAGTGGGACAAATCTCTGATGTATTGACTGTTTCCATCCTCACATTGAAAAGGTGAATATTTTACCAAAAACTTTACTAGTCTTTTTATTATATATCAGTGTCACTGTGGTGTTGAGTGTGGTAGGAACGAGCACTAATAGCCACAAGTAAAATATTTTACTAAAACATCAAAAAATTATCAAGTTGATGTTATCTTTCTGCCCTACCATCCATGTTCAAATTAAGTTCAGGAAATTTTAAATGCTAATGGCTAAGCACTCACACCTTCTTCTTATGAGTTATTTTTATACATACATTTAAAAATGTATTTATGTATATGTAAATAATTATATAAAATTTTCTATACATAAATGCTGTATTACTATTAGGCATTTTCATTATTAGGAAATTTTCAGTCTGACACATTATTTTAGTTGTGAGCTTATTGAGGATAGAGTATAGTTTTTCAATTTTGTAATCCCAGCTTCTAGCATAGTGTCTGGCAGACAGTAGGTGCTTAATATATGATGCGTAACTGAATGAATGAATAAAGGAATAAGAAAATTAGTGAAAGGTGAAACTAGCAAAAGTTTTCTGAGATGATTTTTAAGAAAATGAAAGCATCTTGGAGGTGACAGAAATTAGAGATTTTAAAATGAGCTAGTATGTGGTGTCAGAAAAGTACAATGATTCACTTTTGTATTGCTTGTTAGTCGAAAGAGTATTACTAGCTGAATACAAATCTCCTAACCCTTCTTTTTCTAGTGCTCATTTCGGCATACTTCCTGCCTTATGTAGTTAAGATTTTATGAAGTAAATGGCACAGAAGGGGAATGAATGAGTATATAGCAACTGCTGAAGTTTCAGAATGGTCCATGTACAGAGAACATCTCTGGAATCAATAATTCCAATTTACCTTGGAAATAATTTCTAGATCAGGTTAAATTTAATTACTTCATCTTTACGCCATCATTCAAGAATCACTAAGCACTAGTTAAGGAGTAGATGACAGCAAAGAAAGCTTATAATTCATTAAAGAATTCCAGAAATTAAAAATCTTGGTAAATTGAAAGCCTCACTTGGATGATTTAGACAGCTAAAACTGTATACGTTAATCCTCCCCAGTTTTGTTTTATATCGTTCTTCAAGTGAAGATGTTGAAAAATTTTAAATCTAATGAAAATTAGGAAAATTATACATGTAATTTTCATTGTATTTGTGGCTATGCTGCTCATTTCTATAATATGAGGGTGACATTAACAAGTGATAACATATTTAATAAATATTTTGGGTAAATTTTTTAAGTATAAGAAATATTTTTTCCTCACTATAATAATAGCTTTCATTTATTTAGTGCCTACTCTGTAACAGGTACTGCTCTTTCCATGTATTACCTTATTTAATCATAAGTGTAGTCCTTTGAGGCAGGTATTATTATTTTAGGCTCAGATCTATTGAATAATGTGCTTATAGTCCCACAGCTAGTAAGTGGTAGAGCTGGGGTTCAAATCCATGTTGGTATGCTATTTACTAGTACTACTTTGAACTATATTATAGACATGTATTATTAAATCATTCAAAGCACATTTGAAGACTTCTTATATGTTTAAACATGTTGGACCAGTTGAAGAAACAAATATACCTACATCAGATAATTGGAGAACAGTTATAAGTCTTCATTGCCTTATCTTTGAAGTCTAGATCCAGAAGCTTTGAAAAAAATTTTTTCCCAATTTACATCTGAAAATACTTATCAGTAATGCTGATTTATGTTTTTTTTTTGGTCCAGCCACTAAACTTGGCCCTCTTAACAGGTTTTCATGGGAGTGTGACATTACCAGTACACTGTAGATACATTCAGTGGGATATATTAGTCTGAACAGTGAACCATAACTTTTTTATCACTTTTAGATTCTGTTGTTCAGATTGTTTTTATTTTCCCTCTGTATGCTTCCCAGCATGAATTAACTGTTGATATTTCATGTACCATGAAAGTCTGCTAAAATAAATGGTAGCATCTGTGGGTAAGTGAGCACTTTTACTGAGTTAAAATTGCATTTGCAGCATTTTGAAATTTTAATTGAAAGTGGTCTTGTGGCCACTCTTGCACCAAAATCCTCTTTAATCGAGCTTTTTGGAATTTTCAGCATTGTCTCCCAAATAATTTTGATTTTTTTTCAATGTTTTGTTTGAGATGTGTTTTTTAAGTAGGTATACATCATATGTGAACAAATTGACTATATATAGTAAATAAATGATTTTTATTAATATTCAGAAAGGGAGCAAATAGATACCTAACTGTGAAGAAGAAAGATGGATCAGAAACAGCTCATGCAATGATGACCTGTAATTTGACTCATAATACAAAACATGCTGTTAGGAGCCTAATTCAAAGATTTCCTGTCACCAATAAAGAACGTACTGAACTTCTGCCTAAAACAGAAAGAGGAAATGTGTTTGCAGTTGAAGCTGGTATGTATTTTCTGGGGGAGCTTCTGTGTTTATCTTATTATTTTATGACTTGTTCTTTTTCCATTTTAAATTTACATTTTAAAGCTAAGAGGAGATAAGATTTCCTAATTTGAATAGCTTATTGGAATGATTAAGACTTATAAAAATTTTGAAATGAAATGCAGTGTTAAGGCATATCATGAAGTTAGATAAGGTTTTTTTTAAATGTCATAGTAATAGCTACCATTTATTGAGCACTTACTGTGTGCTAGGCAGTATATTAAACTCTTTAAATAGGGCTTCATCACAACCCTTGCAAGGTAAGAATTTTCTGTTTCACAGGTGAACAAACTGGGATTCAGAGAAGTTAAATAATTTGTTCGAGAACAGTCAACCAGCCAATAAACTGCAGAGCTGGGATTTGAATATAAGGTCTGCACTATCCTATATCACGCTGCCACCGCACACTAATGAGAGAGATTTAGAATTAGATTTAAGTTGTGGTAAGAGATAGAACAGAGTCTTCAGTACATTAATTTGCTGAAAGGTATATAAATAATATATTTAGGATATAAAATTAAGTTGTAATTTCATTATTTGAAAAAATTAGTTCCGTAGTGAGAAAATTATTATTTAAAGTGATGGAATCTGCCTAATTTTCAGTTTATTGAAGTAGGTTTGCAGAATACAGAAAACACATGATGCTACATATAAAGGAATTTTAAGTTTTAAATACATACACACACACACAAATATTTTGAATTATGTGAAAAGTATAAACACATCATGGCTCTTTTATTCCTGTCTGTTTAGGTAAGTGTAGCTGTTGGCTAAAATGCTCAATTAGGGAATTTATTAAGTTTTAGGACCTGATATTTACACATAATATTCTATTTGTTTACATAATCTTACATGTTTAACTTAAACATACAGGATATATTTTTTATAACGAGTTTTCACTTTGTACATAACAGACTATCAGTAGAATGCACATTGTTTCCTACTATAAAATTTCAGTTTTCTTTGTCATTATTAGTAGAAATGAGTCTGAAAGTCATTTCAGATATTAAATCATGTCTTATTTTTAATGGTTATTGAATGATTGATTTTTGTTCATTTGTAAACATTATGCACCAGAAATACTTTTGAGAGATTTGCTTTCTAATTGATACTGAAATTTGTAACATATTCTGTAAGAATATTAAGTATAGGAGTGCAACAGCTAAGGCGTTGATTGGTAACTTCATGTAGACTGAGTAGAAAAGAAATAGTTGAATGAAATTATATTAGAAATTACTTATTTTAACACTTCTTTTTAATGTTGATCATAATTTTTTTCTTTTATTCATTTTCAAAGAAAACCGGGAAATGAGCAAGACAAGTGGGCGACTCAACAATGGCATACCTCAGATTCCAGTGAAAAGAGGAGAATCTGAATTTGATTCTTTCAGGCAGTCTCTGCCAGTGTTTGAGAAACAAGAAGAAATTGTTAAAATAATTAAGGAAAATAAGGTAGTTTTGATTGTAGGAGAAACTGGGTCTGGAAAGACTACACAGGTTTGTTTCTTTGTTGTTTACAGAAGAAAAAATATTTTAGCCCATGTGACAGTTTGGTATTACATTTATACTCTGTGTATTTAAACAAAAACAGACAAAGGAACTTCTGGGTATTTTAATGGTTATTTCAGAAATAAATTATTGCTGGGGGTACATTTTAAGAATTTGTAGAAAGGAAATGTTTTAAAATATTTATTTTAAACTAGTATATTATACCTTCACTTAAACAGAGGTGAGGATGTGATTTGGCATCAATGGAAGAAATGTGAACTTGGGCCTTCAGTTCAAATTCCAGTTTCCTTATTTATTGGGTGTAAAGTTTTAGTCTGGTTTTATAACCTCTGTGAGCCAGAGTTTTCATTTGTAAAATGATAATTGCTACTATTCATGGTAAAATTTAGAGATGTGTACAAAGTGCCTACTACAGTGGTTTATAAATAACAGCTAAGTTAAAAGCAAAACTAATAACAACAACAAATGTTGATATATAGTTGACTGTAGAATAGAATTAATATGTTTGACTTGGATGTTTAGAATCAAAGTACTTTATTATCATGACATCTTATACATTAGGGTGACAGTTTAGAAGTAAAAGTGGTACAGTGATATGACCTTTTCTTGATTATGTTCTTTAACATGTTAGTATGTTAAACTACTACTACTACTACTACTACTACTACTACTACTTTAACATACTAACATGTTAGTATGTTAAAGTAGTAAAATTACTTTGCTTTTGATAGTGTTTCAGATATAATAGATAATATAATTTTACATTATTTTCTTTTATGGACAAATAAATTTACTTTTGACAGTTGCTTAAGAGTTCCTTTGGTTATATTGGTTGGTTTAATAAACTTAGTCAATAAGGAAGGCAAGTTGATAAGAGAGGTTGACTATAAACTTTACAAATTATTTATTTGTAAGACTTAACCATTTTCACAGAAGTATAACTCTTTATCCAAAACTTGATCCTGTAAAACAATATTTAAAAACATGATAAAATTTTTATCTGGGGATAATATGTAAGATATTTCTTTAGTATGAGTTCTTTGTTTTTATTAAGTGAAATTCCATAGAGTCCAGTCAGTCCAGATATCTTAGATTGTTATAATTGTTTTAGTATTATAGTATGGTTTTCCAGTAAGTGTAAATTGTAGCACTGTTAATATTGAATAGAGATTTTGAAAACTTTGGTAAATACAATAAATGTATTTTTATATAAATTATTTGAATGTCCTTGCTAATAATATTTGTACATCAGAATTATGTATGACTGTTTTTATAATTGTGTATATCATTTTGCTAAAATTTTATATGAAAGGATACTTGAGAATTTAATGAAGAATTTAATGTTATGCTCTTTGATTATCAGTGTCTCTTGCATACCACCAGCTGGGGACCTGGCCCACAACCCAGGCATGTGCCCCAACTGGGAATTGAACTGGCAACCTTTCATTTTGCAAGATGGTGCCCAAACCACTCAGCCACGCTAAGTTTCTGTAGCACCTGGGCCTATCTCTGGAATTTTTGTTAGATATCTTTAATTCTATATTTGCACTGGGTTTCCACCTTTTGCTTTTTGTAGCTTTATAGTATGTAGCACAATATTCCTAATCATTGTTTTTTCTTTTTAACTATTTCTTAGCTTGTGTACATTTGTGCTTCTGGGTAAAGCAGTCAAGTTTAAAAAAAAAATCCCAGAGTCTAAGACATGTATGAAAAGATGTTCTCTTTCACTCATAGTTAAAGAAATGAAATCAGAACAATTTTATTTTTCAGATATTAGATTGGCAGAAATTAATAAATGTATGATATCGCGTATTTGCATAGGTATTGGGAAAACAACATCTTCTACTTTGTTGATAGTATAAATTGTTATAGAGGGAAATTTTATAATATTTTTGTCCAAATTTAATTTATATATTTGGACTATACAAAAGTATGTTAAGCAAGATGTTCACATACTAGTAATAGCAAGCAATAACATTAATAATAACAAACCTAAAAACACTGGAAATTACTTAAGTGTAGTTATATTAGTTAAGTTATAGCACATCTGTAGGATGGAATGTAAAGCTAATAAATGGATTAGGTAATCTGATATGTTAAGTGAAATCTACAAATTACAAACATACAGTAATAACTTTGTGCGATAAAAACGTTTATATACACAAATATCCTAAATTGTGTAAATATTTTTTTCCCTGAAAGAGTTCATAAGAAATTTAACAGTAGTTACTTTTTTGGAGAGGACTATTGGTAGTGGTAGGGGTGGGAAGACTTACTTTTATTTTAAAATATTTCTGACCTGTTTGAATTTAATTATAGAAAAGAGTCTGCAATCCCTGTATTAGGCTATTTTTGTGTGTTTTTTTTAAAAATTACTTATTTTTTTAGAGAGATGTGAAGGGAGGAAGAAAGAGGGAGAGAAACATTGATGTTTGAGAGAGACACCAATTGGTTGCCACTTGCACGCCCCACCTGGGAACCTGGCCTGCAGCCCAGGCATGTGTCCTGACTGGGAATCCAACTGGTTACTTTTTAGTTTGCAGGATGATACCCAACCCACTGAGCTACACCAGTTGGGGCTATTTTTGTGTTTTTCACTATTAAAAATTCCCAGTGGGATTTTGATTGTTTCATGGAGAGAATAGACATTGTCGTAACATTGACTATATCCATTCAGGAATGTCATATTTATATATTTAGATCTTTTATGCTCTCATTAGCATTTTATACTCTTTGCATGAGCTTTAACTATTTCTTTTTAAACATTTGATTATTTATTTTTATTGTATGTTCAGGAATATTTTATGTATGGTTTATAATTAATTATTTAAAAATTGTTTTATTCCACTGTCCCAGTTTGGCCATTAAGTACTTCTTCCAATTGGTTCCTGTGTCTTTGGCATGACTCCACATCACTTACCTCCTCCTTAGTTCTTGGCACCATAAGATGTTTCAAGCTGATCTTCAACAAGATCTTTCTTTTTAAATTACATTTTCTAGCTGATTATTAGCAACAATGTGAAAGTTGTTGATTTTATGATTATGTCTGGACATGTTACAGAATTGGATTTTCTAGGTATATAATCATGTATGTCATTTTATAGTACTTTAAAACTTGTGTTTCAGATTCCTCAGTTCCTGTTAGATGATTGCTTTAAAAATGGTATCCCCTGCCGTATATTTTGTACTCAGCCAAGACGATTAGCGGCTATTGCTGTGGCTGAAAGAGTTGCTGCAGAGAGAAGAGAAAGGATTGGTCAAACAATTGGGTATCAGATACGATTAGAAAGCAGGTAAGGACAATTCTTCCATAGCCTATCTTTTATCAATAGAGAGGGTAAATGTTTCTGTTTTACTAAATAGGGAGACTATGTTAAGTTAAAAAGTTAGATGATTATTTATTCCAAATAGTACTTATTCTATGACAGGACATTGAGATCATGTCTAAACTTACTGAGATTTTTAATAAATAAATAGTTGAGAAAGAGTTTGGGCCATGGATACAGTTTTCTCATTTATAAAATGGGACTAATAAAAGCATCTAGAGCACAGGATTGATGTGAAGTTTATAATAAGCACTCAATAAATATTAGTGACTGAATTGATTATTATTAGTGGTAGTAAACTCCTTCATCAGCAGTACTATTTCTTTGCTCTAATGGTTTGGATATAGTGGTTTAAAAAGCTGATCCCTTTTATGATACACTTTTGTACCCAAGCAAAAAGTATTTAAGGTCTTTAAAAAAATCTGTTTATGGTTCTTTAACAAAATAATCATTTAATTAATAAAGACTATTAGTAGTACAAATTTTGTGAGATTATTCAGCATAAAATAAATATTTGACATAAATTGCCAATAAAGCATACATATATTGTTATGTTAGTAACTTTAAGTGACATTTGTTACAGTACATATAAGACTAACATTCAATGTGATCATGTTTTAATTATATATAATGTTTGTAATTGTGCACATTATTTTGATTTTTTAAAAAGGGTTTCTCCAAAGACACTTCTGACATTTTGCACCAATGGGGTATTGCTTCGTACATTGATGGCAGGAGATAGTACATTGTCAGCTGTAACACATGTTATTGTGGTAAGAATATCTCTGAATTTGCCATATATAACTCAGATTGCTTGAAATTTAAATACATAAGTATATAATTTTTAGAGTAGTTACAAGTGAGAACTAATTTGTTTTTTTCTGAACAGGCTATTATAATCAAGTTACTTTTATTTTCTATAATGATTAGAAATAATTATTTTGTATTAAAGATATTCTTACCATCAGGTTTTATGAGAGAAAATAAAATAAGTAGGTAGTTTTTTAAAAAAGTGCTTTTTTTATCATAGACACAAGCAACAACAGTGTGATGACTGCTAGAGGGAAAGGGGGGTGGGAGGAGGTAGAAGAAGGTAAGGGGGCTAAATGGTGATAGAAGGAAACTTGACTAGGGTGGTGAACACACAATATAATATACAGATCATGTATTGTAGAAATGTATAACTGAAACCTATGTAATCTTACTAACCAATTCACCCCAATAAATTCAATAAATAAAAAAAATAAAAAAATTTAAAAGTGCTTTTTATGTGTGAAAATGATACGTGCATATATTTAGATAAGTTCTCTAGAATGGTAAATTTTTTTTCCCACATGATTTGTCATGTGATACCTTTAACTAATGTGTATTTACCAGACTTAAGACATATTTTATAGTCATTTAACTTCAAGGTTAGGCTGCTAAATTAACTAGCTGCTGATGAAGACAGTTAAATGAATTATATCTTATTAAAGAATTACAAGCTTTTATCTAGTTTGTGAGAAAACAATTAGAATAAGTTTTATTAACCTGCAGCAAGCAGGTTTTGGAAACTTGCTAGATCTGTGTATTCAAACCAAAGGATGCCCCTGAGCCCTGATGTTAAGAGAAACATGTTTAAATATATTTTGTCTAGTGTTTTAAAAGGACACTAAATTAAAATTCACCAATTCAGAATTTAGTTCGTGTGGTTTTATATTCTGAAAACAAACAAACAAACAAACCAACAAAATAAAAGCCAAAGCCAACCATAGCAGGTTGTTAGTGTCTGTTTCTGAATTGTTTATAACCCAGAATTTTCACTAATACTGATGGCCTTGTCCACATTCAATTTGAATTAGTGTAAAACTCAGCAGTTCCATGATTTTAAAGACTTAGTCATCTATAATGTTTTTTTTTATTTAAATGTTCCATGGTTTTATTTTGTTTACTGCAGGATGAAGTACATGAAAGGGATCGATTTAGTGATTTTTTACTTACAAAGTTAAGAGATTTGTTGCAAAAGCACCCAACTTTGAAACTAATTCTTTCTAGTGCTGCCTTGGATGTAAATCTCTTTATAAGATATTTTGGAAGTTGTCCAGTGATATATAGTAAGTTAAATTATAAGATTTGTTTTAGCATTTTAACTTTTTGGGTGATTGTATATATTATAATCAGAATTAGGGAATGTTCTGAAGTGGAGAACATGCATTTTCTGTTTCCTCTAAGATATACTTAATTAGTTATTGCTCTATATTTTCATCTTTTTCCATCTATAGCTCTTTGCTATTGTGTTGTAAGGTCAATTCTCTAGTCATAAAAGGAAATATTTTTACTTTGGCCCTGCATTCCCCTTTACATTGTCTTATATCTTCCCTTTTATTACTAGACTCCCTGAAAGATAGTCTACATTCTCTTGTTTACTTCCCATGTACTTTTGAACATGCTGCCACTTAAATTTTATCCTTATCCTTTAATCAAAACTGGTTTTGCTATCAGTCTTTAAAAATAACAAAAAACTGTCTTGGGATTGACTATGGAAGTAGAGGGCAAGTGGGGAGGAAGGGGATAAAGGGGAAAAAATTGGGACAGCAGTTAACAGCATAAACAATAATAAAAAAATATTAAATTTATCCCCCAAAATGGAAAAAGTTGTCTGTGTTCACCTCAATGATACAGTATAAACATATATAGGAAAAAAGTTCAACCTTGTTATTTCATGTCCTACTTTCCTGAGATTAGTTAATGTTAAAGCTTAGTGTATATCCTTTCTCACCTTGTCCATAGCCATACAAGGTATGCAAATATATATTGTATTTTTTGTACTATAAGACGCACCCCCCAAATTTGCGGGGGTTGGGGGGGTGCATCTTATAGTTCGAATGTAGCTTACCTGGCTCACTGGGGGGGGGGTGGTGGGCAGTGGCCTATGTTATTTATGTTATCACCTTATTTTTTGGACCATAAGATGCACCTAGGTTTTAGAGGAGGAAAACAGGAAAAAAACTATGAATCAAAAAATGTGGTAAAATATTTAATAACATAAGTAACATAATATTTCACCAATAGAAATGTAAAGCTATGTTCAGACTATAAGACACACCCCCATCCCCCCCAGATTTGGAAGGGGAAAGTGCGTCTTATAAATATTTTACATTTTTTGCTTCGAAATTTTTTTCCCTATTTTCCTTCTCTAAAACCTAGGTGTGTCTTATGGTCCGGTGCGTCTTACAGTCCAAAAAATTCAGTACATATTTGTCAGGTTTACAGAATTTGGTCTTACAAAAATGAACACATACATTGTCTTGCAGTTTGCTTTATTTGGAAGACAGTACCTCATGAACTGTCCTCCAGTTCATTAGTTCCAGATATAGTTCATTATTTTAAGCAGCTGTTTTAATATTTTATAATATGAATGCACAATTATTTATTTATTTATCTATCTATCTATCTATCTATTTATTTATTTATTTAATTTTGGGCATTCAGGTTGGTTCTAGATCCTCCCTTTTACCCACCATAAACACTGTTGTAATGAACATCCTTGCATGTATTATTGCTCGCAATAGTGCTCTTATTTCTAAGGATAGGTTTGGTTCCTGAAAATGAACTTTTTGAGTAAAAGAATGTATCTTATTTTTAATTTTAACAGGTTTTTCCATTTTACTTTCTCAAAAGTCTGAAATGATTCACATTTCTGCAGTGTATAGGGCTGTTCATTTGTGATTCTTACCATTATTGTTTTGACACTAGTTAATTGCCAAGCCTACTGTTCATATCTGACACAAAAATCTTAATTATATTTTGTGTGATATTTTCATGATTGCCCCCCTTTTTGAGTGTGAAATGCTCAGGCCCCATAATTTATTTAACAGCACTGCCTTCTAAGTCTCAGTCTACATTATAATTTGCGATTTATTTTGTGGTCTCCTTTGTGGGTTTCTTCTCTTGCCTGGTACTTAAATATTGGTATTTTCTAGGATTATTCCCTTGGTGCACTTTTTAAAAATTCCTTCCTTACCTTCCCTTTCTTCCTTCTTTTCTTTGTTTTTTCTCCTCGTTTCTGCTCTGTGCTGCACTCTATGAGGTACTGGAGATGTGCTGTTAGTTTCCCTTTAAGTTCTTGTTCATGCCCTTTCTTGGCTTCTACTTTATTTTTTAGACTGATGACTCCTGAATCTTTATTTCCAGTTCAGAGTGTTCTTTCCAATTCAGACTGTTCTTCAGAACTTTGGACTTAGATATCTTATAAGCAGCCCACTTGTAATATGCCCCAAACTGAATACTTAATGTTTCTACAGAATTTTTTCTTGTGTTGCCTGTTTTGAGTAATCATACCACCGACCTCATCACCTAAGTCACAAATCTGTAAATCTTTCTTCTCGTAATATTCTTGGGTGATAAAACACTTGAAAGTTACACACTTGCTAATTGAAATCTAATTTTGGCACTTCATATTGACATATCAAAAACAAAACCCCAATGCCCATCAGCTAACTAATAACTCTTTTCAGTTTTCCTGTTACCTTAGGGAATATGTAATCATCTATCCAGTTTTGTAAGCCAGAAATCCGATAACTGTGATGGACACTTCCTTGCCATTCCTCCACATGTAATCTAATGCTAAGTTCCTTGTGTTTATTTCCTGTCTCTAGAGCCTGTCTTTTTTTCCATTTTTGCTATCACTAGTTCATTCAAGTTGTCCTCTTTTATCTGAACTATTGGAATAGCTTCTACCTGGTGTGTTCCATCCACTCTGCTCTCTTTTAAATCCATTCTTTGTAGTGCAATCAGAGTAGTCTTTTCTGAACTGGAATTCTGATGATGTTGATTATTCTCTCCAGCTTGAAACTCTGAATGACCTTTACCTCACGATAAAGACCTGAACCTTTAATAAGACATCTGTTTCTCTTGCTCCATCTTCAACTACAATTCACTCTCTATTCCCCCTCTCCTGCAATGTTCCAACTAGCTTGAAACTAGCTTGTTCTTTTAGTTTTTTTCATCCCTTATATCCTCAGCACCCCTCCCCCCATATTTTTAGTGTTTGGAAAACATCCTACTCTTTCCCAAAATAGGGTCTTTGCTGATGGTATGTGTTTCCATATAGCCTAGTTATTTTTTTTACCCCCTTTTCTTGGTCCTCATTTTGTCAGTGAGGATGCTTTTTTTGAGTAAGTTAGTTCCCCAGCCCCTTATTAAATACTGTCATAGTATCTTATACTTCTCTTCGATAGAACTTGTCATAACTCTATTTTAAAATTTGTAATCTGAATTATTGGCTTAATGTTTCTTTTGCTCATGCATCTTTTGCTAACTTGCAAGCTTCAAGAGGTTGAGAGGTAGCTCTGTTTCTGCTTACCAGTTGTGTTCCTGGTGCCTAGCATGATGCCAAACACATGATAAGTAGAGAGTAAACACTGAGAAAGCAAGCTTATGAACAGTGTTCTAAAATAAAGATCAAAGTTATATTTAAAGGATAATACCATGAGGATCACTTGACCTATAGAATTGCTTTTGGATTTTATAGTCATGTTCATTAACTTGGGATTCTCATGGCTTTATGTGAATTATCTCTGGGATGTAATAACTTTTTAAAAATCTCTATTAGTACAGGGAAGACCATTCGAAGTAAAAGAAATGTTTCTGGAAGATATTTTAAGAACTACTGGATATACAAACAAAGAAATGTTAAAATATAAAAAGGAAAAACAGCGAGGTAAGCTTTTTATCAAACACATGTAAAAAGAAATTTACTATTCCTAATGACTTTTTTGAGTACTTCATTATTATACTGTGGAGTTATAAGGACACTTGAAAGTGTTTCTCATTAGTGTATAATTATGTAATGTTATATTAGAATACTGTCCCAAGTGTACCTTTTACATTCTGGTTATGTCGAGGAGTTGAAAGTGGGGAATACCAGAGATAAAGGAGGGTACGGGGGAGGTAGAAGAGGGTAAAGGGGGCATAAGGGTGATGGAAGGAGAATTGACTTGTGGCGGTGAACACACAATACAATATAAAGATAATGTGTTACAGAATTGTACACCTGAAACCTATATAATTTTATTAACCAATGTCACCCCAATAAATTCAGTTAAAAATAAATCAATTAGTTAAATAAAAACTTTAAAAAAAGAAAGTGGACGCTGGAAATGAGGAGGTTGTGTGTGTCTGTATCCAAAGATCAACTACTGTTTTAAGTAGGGAGAAGAGAATGTGCTGCCACACATACGATTTGCCACAGCATGTCTCAGGACAAGAGTGGGGAGCAGGTGGGGGGGCTCATCTTTGACACAAATGTGAAGGTTTTCAAATCTTGATACTGTTTTGAATTGCTTGTGTACTTTGATGTTAGCATTATTTGCCTATTGATACATTTCTTATCATGACTTTATTCCAGATTTTGAATTAGGGTTAGATTCTTTTTACTTATTTTTAACTACATTATTTATGATGGGAGATTTGGTTCCAAGCTTTGATTCCATTAATTTGTTTGTATGACCTTGGATAAATATCTTAACTTTGGATTTTCCACTTGACAAAGCAATTAGCAATATTTATTTTACAGTGCAGTGCTAAATCACTAATGTGTAAGTTATAAAACTTCTAGATCTTGAAACCTTTGAACGTGAAATTGTATATAACTTCTTTTTTTTAAGATTTTACTTATTTAGTTTTAGAGAGTGGAAGGGAGGAAGAACAAGAGGGAGGGAAACATCAATGTGAGGTTGCCTCTCATGTGACCCCTGTGGGGATCTGCCCCACAACCCAGGCATGTGCCTTAGACTGCGATTCAAACCAGCAACCCTTTGGTGCACAGCTGGTACTCAATCCACTGAGCCACATCAGATAGGGCTGAAAACAACTAGTTTGATGGCAGAAGTTCAATAAATGGTTTTAAACTTTTCAAAAGTGCTGTATGAACATGTCATTGATTGAAATAATATTTATTTTATTTTGAAAATACCGTTCTTTGAATTATGGACCAGAAGTAAACATTTCCCTAACAAATAAATATATGAGGCTTTTAAGCAGTTTCATGTTATCCTTATAGTTCAGCATAACACATTCTTAATGTTACTAATTAATATATTTAAAAAATAACCATGGTTAATAAAGGAGATAGATGCTTCTCTTTCTGACATATGATTGCATAAAGATATTGATGCCTTTGCTCACATTTTTCTACAAAACCTCATTTTAACTGCAAATATAAGTGGTAATTTATTTTAAATATGGGCAACTTTTATGTATTTTCATATTCATTTAGGTTTAAACAAAGGAATATATTTCAAAAGCAAAGAATTTATTTATTCTTTCTTTGATAATTAATTTAGAAGAGAAACAACAAACCACACTTACAGAATGGTATTCAGCCCAAGAGTATACTTCGAAGTCTGAATCTCAGAGACAGAGAACAGTTCCAAATGTGACTGAAGAGTATGACATATTGGATGATGGTGGTGATGCTGTTTTCAGTCAGTTGGTAAGACCTCACTGGTCTCACACTGATATTTAGAGTGAAAATTATATGGTTTAAAGAATATCTTAGAAGATTGTAATATTTCACTGCATTATTAAAGGGTAATTCTTTTAGTTTATTTTAGGATACAACACATTTTTCAGAGTGACTTTCTAACACACTTTTCTTTCAACTAATGTATTTTTTATTGTTTCATTCTAATTTTATCTCAATGTTTTCTCTAAATTTTTTGAAGAAAATAGTTACAGATATTATGCATATATATATTACTATTGCTTGATATTTTATCATCTCAAAAGTTTAAGAGCATGTGAGCTAAGCAATGGAAGACATACTAATGTAGGAGAAAACTAAGAAAAGATTATCAGTGTTAGATCAAATAATCAATACTGATGTTTTCACCACCAAACAGCTATGTGACTTTATAAAATCAATTATCCACTATAGACCAAATCAAGTTGTTCTTCTTTTCTCCTTTTATTTTAACCATTTTGCCACAAAATCTTTCACAAGTGAAATAATTTGTAAAAGCCCTGCCTGGTCATCCATCACTCTTCATTCCTGTAGCAGAGGTGGGGCCTCAACTACACTGGGTTCCATGAAGCCTGTTTGAAAACTGGAACTAGCTGATTTCCTAGTACCCTTTGGTCTTTGATTCTGGTTTGGAATTCTTTAAAAGGCATTGTTGATTTGTATGATTCAGAATATGGCTGGGACTGTGCACTTTTTAGAAAAAGAATTTAACTGTTTTGAATATAAGAAGGTACCTACTGCAGATATGCTTGCAGTTTTCTACCTTAGAGTTTTATTGTATCCAAATGAACTACATGTAAGTTTTTAAAAATGCCTTTAAAGAATGTTTAAAATTGTTGTTTTAATATAGGGAACATTCATTTGGTCCAATGAACAACATTTTGATTATTAGTTGTTCTTAAATATTGCTGCATACTAGCATCATCTAAGGTACTTTTAAGCCCCGTGTTATCCGGCTTCCATCACCAGAGATTCTAATATACTTGTTCTGAAGTGGAACCTGGCATTAGTGTTGAAAAGCTCCAGGTGATGGTCCCTCTGGTGTGCAGTTGGGAGAGAGAGCCACTGGTGTACATTTAACAACATCCTATCAGAAGCACACTTAGTTAATATTTGGACGGGATTGTACCTTTTTGACAAACCTTCTTCTTCTCAGATGAAAGATGAATATAAGAACAATGTACAGTATTGTGAGTGATAATGTTTGTGATGAGAAGAGAAACTTTTAGGTTAAATCTATGCTATAATATCATATGGTTAGTAGTTCTTGTGACCACTACGGCTATCTCACGGTTTTTGCAATCCAGGGTTAAGCTGTTAGGTAACTTATAACCTTTGCTTTTTTTTTTTAAAGACAGAAAAAGATGTGAATTGCCTTGAACCATGGTTAATAAAGGAAATGGATGCTTGCCTTTCTGACATATGGTTGCATAAAGACGTTGAGGCTTTTGCTCAGGTTTTTCATCTTATTTTAACTGAAAATGTTAGTGGTAAGTGTAATTTATTTTAAAAGTTATTACTCTCATAGTTATGCCAAAATTTAGCTTAATTCAAAAGGTAGGTACTACATTTTTATTCAGTTTGTTATTTTGGAGTGCATATTGAAGTGCACATATCAATATCTTCTTATTAGTACAATAAATAAGTATTGTGTTAAATCAGGGTTTCTTTACCTAGTTATACTAGAATAGTTTAGACTTTGTGAGTATATGACAATTTTATGTGCAAAATTATTTTTATATACATGTATTGTGCACATAAATATACTCTCCCTGGGCCTCCAGGGGAATACTTTGGATTTTTGAAAAAGATTTGTGATTTCAAAAAAGGAAGAATTAGTAGTTAACTTTGCTCTAGGTTTTTTTTTCTTATCCTCACTTGAGGATGGTTTTTTCTTTTTTCCTTGCTTTTGAGAGAGAGAGAGAGAGAGAGAGCGTGTGCAAAAAAGAGAAAGCGAGTAAGAGAGAGAGAAACATTGATTGCTTGCCTTCTCATAAAGTGCCCTGATCAGGGATTGAACCCATAGCCTGAGTATGTGCTCTGACTGGGAATCAAACCCATGGCCTTTTGATCTACAGGACAGTGTTCCAGCGAAGCCACACTGGCCAGGGGTGCTCTAGATTTTTAATTAAGTGAATAGAGAATTTTAGTATACCTTTAGTTATATAAGCTTAAGTTCTAATTCATATGTATGTGCTGTATGGCATGTGACATATTTTCACTAGTGAGTTATCCTCATGTTGTAAGTTGATTATAGTGGATATTGGCAACCAGAGGTGAGTTTCAGAACATTGAAGGCTTCTTGGCAAATAGTAGAATACAAGTTCATAGAAAGGATTTATGGGAAGGATTTAGATGGCCCTTCACCTAAACTTCTCAACATTATTATTGTTATTGATCACTCCCTTCTTGAAACATTTCCTTTAATTAACTTCTGATATTCCACGCTTGATTAATTTTCTTCTCATATTCCTGGCTGGAACTTCTTGGTTTCCTTGATCAGGTTTTCCTCTTTTTCTTGACCTATGAATATGAAACATCCCAGGCCTCAATCCGTAGACCTTCCTTCTGTTTATACTTACTGTGTGGATCTCATTTAGTCATAACTTTATATATTTATTTAAAATGACTCCTCACTTTATGTCTCCAGTCCTGACCTCTGCCTCTCTTCAATGTACCTGATCCCTTGACATCTCCAGTTGGGTGGCTAATGAATTATATTGGATATGCCCCAAATAACTTTTGATTCCATCCTCACCTATCTCTATCAACCTGCTCTTTCCTTAGTGTTTCCTTAGTATTTGTAATCAGTTGTAGACCTTTTTAAAAATGTGGGTGCCTGGCTATCCTAGACCACCTGAATCTGAAACTAGGGTCCTATCATTCACCTAGTTGCTAAGCCAACACAACATAAAATCATTCTTAACTTTGCTCTCACAGCCCACATGTAAACTATTAAATCTTTTAGCTTTACCTTCTAAATAAATCCCAATCTGACTATGTTGCACTCTCCAACTACTGCCATCCTAATACAAGCATTTCTTGCAGTATCCTATTAACTGCTTCTGTTCTTACTTATTGCAGTCTGTTCTTCAGAGAACAACCATATTGATCCTTTCAAAAAGGGAATTGGATCATGCCACTTCCCTGTTCTCTACTCTTCCATGGCATTCATTTATACTACATTTTGAATAAAAATCAAAGACCTTTCCCAGATTTGGTCTCTTACTGCCATTTTGATCTCATTTTCTACTATTCTTTTCCTTGTTCACTTTGCTATAACCACCCTTACCTTCAAATGTGCTGGCACATTCCCATCTTTGGGCCTTTGTTTTGTTGTTTTCTGTGCCTGGAATTCTGTCCCCAGAGATACTCATATGGCCCAATGTTTATTTCATTTAGGTTTGTACTTAGTGACTTCTCAGAGAGGCCCTTTCTGATCATTTTACTAAAATTACACCCTTTCCTCACTATTTCTCCTTACTGTGTTTTTTTTTATTATTCGTACAGCTGACCCTTGAACAATGTGGAGGTAAGGGTGCTGCATAGGGGTGCACCCCATACATTTGCAAATTCTGTGTATAATTTCTGACTCCCCAGAAACTTAACCACAGCTGCTCAGTATACTTGGGGTATTGGTTCCAGGATCCATCTCACATACCCAAATCCACTTATGTGTGAGTCCCTTGTATAAAGCAACGTAGAACAATGTATATGGTTGGCCTTACACTTCCACAGGTCCACAAGTAAACAGGTTCCACAAGTGAAATCTACCTATCTAGCTTCTACCCCTTTTTGCTTCATGGGAGATAGTGAGGAGATTTAGTATCTATATATGCCTGATAGACCTTCAGATATATGAAGATAGTTATTCTTTCTTCTATTTTTATTTTTTGTTTTTACTATACTTATGACTTCCAACTATTTCCCTTTAACATAGCAGGACATCTAATCCTCTCCTGTCCTCATTCACCTCCTCTGGTTATGTTCTAATTTGTCCCTTTTAAGAAGCATGGTGTCTAGTCCTGAGTAATAATTTCTTAGTGATCATCTTTGGTAGAATAGGTCTATTAGCCTGAAAACCTCTACTTTTACGTATATTGATTTGGCCTGTAGTAAATGTAGCTCTTTGCCAACCACATTTGTCTTACTGATTCATGTTGTCTTTGAAACTTCCAGTAATTTTTAACATGTGATTAATGCTCCCATAATTTACTTGTTGTTTTGAGCTTTTTGAGCTTAAGACATTCTATTTATTCCTTTTAAATCTCATAGGTAGATTTGGCTTATTGTTTCTGCTTAACAACTTTTTTTTTAGTTCTAATTATTATCTAGCATATGTTTATGAACTTGAGAGGCCTAGGTCAATGGTCAAGCATTGACCTAGTGTATGCTACAAGAGGCTTTAAGTCAAAATGTGGGTATGGTTTTTTAAGTGGTTATAATTCTACACATCTACTCATCTATCAAACCCCTTAAGAAACAAATGAAGGTCTTTTGGCATTTTTTCTTCTTTGTAAATGTATTTTGACTCCTGTTGATTTACTTTTTTTCAGTTTATTATTCACTTAAAAAGTCTGTATTTTGAAAAGTAGTATTTTTATATTTGGAAATGTAGACATTTGTTCATCTGGTTTTCTGGCAGTTTTTTCCTCTATTATTTTTTGAAATATCTACTCCACACAGTTTAGCAGTCTTACCTGAAAGTTAGGAAATTTAATCTCTGAGATATGTTGCTTTAAAATATTTATGAAGCATTTAAAAGTATTTACATATTACTCTTGACCCTCTTCTTAGATATTTCCTTAGTAAATACTAGACTATTGCTTTCATAATGGTCATTCTATGGACCCAGGTCTTTCTTCTTTATAATTTTATTGGATATTTTCCAGAGTCTAGCATTTTAATGTCTTCAGCCTTGTAAAGTAAACCAAAATGTTGTGGTAGCTCTCTAAACAGTTATTCACTTCCTATCTTTTTATTTCTCATTTAAAATCTCAACTTTTACTTGGTACCAGATTTGAAAATACTTCCTGTGATCCAGGAAATCTTGGGCTTCGTAGGTTTCATTTTAATGCCATCAGTTTCCCCATGTGATCCTGTGGAAGCAGCTAGTAATTTTCTGGTTTAGTAAGACCAGGCATTCTCTGTCATGCTCACTCTGCTAGTCATCTGTTCCCCCACTTAGCAACCTAAAACATTTGTCGCACAGAGTTTCTTAGAGTCAAGAATCTGGGAATGGTCTGGCTCCTAGTCATTCATGAAATAGTGTTCAACCGATGTCAGGGCCTTTGGTCATCTGAAGGTTTACTGGAGCTGGAGGATTTGCTTCCAAGAAGGCTCATTCACATGGCTGTTGGCAAGAGGCCTTAGTTTGTCTCTGCTGTTGGCAGAGGGCTGCAGCTCCTTGCCATCTGGAGCTCTCCATAGGGCTGTCTTAGCCTTCCCAGGATGTGGCAGCTGGCTTCTCCCAGTGAGTGATTTAAAAGAGAAGTAGAAAAAGCAAGTGGGAAGTTGTATATACCTTTTATGACTTAGTCTTCAAAGTTGTATGACACCACTTCTTTATTCATTAGAGTCACTTAATACAGCCCACACTCTGTGAGCAGGGAATTAGTCTCTGCCTCTCGAAGGGAGGAATATTAAAGAATTTTTGTATATTTTTAAACACCCATACTTATTCATACTGCTCTGCTCAAAATACACACATTTTGTTTCTATTCTCCAAGGCTATTAATTGAATATTAGTTGAAGTAGTAATTCTCATATTGTGAATACAGATCATAATCTTTGCAGACCTCTTTAAAAGTACATATACCTGGCCATCCCAGATCTATGGAATTTGAATGTATGAGTAAGGCATAGCTGTCTGTGCTTTCAGAAGTAAAATGCCTGAGATAAATCTCTTATAAGTCTCTCTTCCACCTTAAGAACTATTTATTTATATTAGTACTGGATACCATGTTTTAGAGCATTTTTATATGATAAGGATAATTGGTATATATGGGAAATTAAAATTTTCCCTTTGTAATTATCTTAAATTTTACTACAGAGGTTTTTTCCAATGGTGATTTCTTTCTGAAATTACCAAATCTGTAATTTAAGCAAATTATGCTAAGCAATTATAATATAATGTACTACTTGAGAAATATATTCTAGGAACTTAAATTCAGTAGAACTTAAATTATTTTTCTCATGGAGGGATTTTATGGGAAGTAAACTGTCAATATTTCCATTAAGAATTTTTGAAAATAACAGCCTGGAATGATGGGAGAATAAAAGCAAAACAAAAGAACAACAAAAAGTGGTCCTAAACTTTGAATTTGTACTTTTAATCATTCATTACCCATTGCTGGTGAAAATTAATTTTTTGATTCTTTTTTAATTCTGTCATGTCATTTGATGATCAGGACAATATCTAGATTTAGGAAGATTAAGGGTTCAGTAAGTTAGTAACTTTTCTTTTCTGTGTGAATTGTCTTGGTGAGCTTTAGATAGCTTAACAACAATCTTTTGTTCTCTGACCTTCCAGCTGATAGTCCCTATTCCATCCTGTTTATATCAGTAACATATCTCAGATGAGAGGATTTACCATGTGGATAGGTGAAGGAACCCAGGTTAATTCTCCTGATACTTAGTTCTTTCATTGAAATTTAAAATGATTTAAAAGAATTTGGAAATTTCACACGTATCTGTCTTTTCCTTATTTTAGTGGACTACAGACATAGTGAAACCAGTGCAACAGCTCTGATGGTTGCTGCAGGACGTGGCTTTTCAAGTCAAGTAGAGCAGTTAATCAGTATGGGAGCCAATGTCCATTGCAAAGCATCAAATGGCTGGTAATTTTAAGCTGTATCTATTCTTGTGTATCTTTGTAAAGCTACATATATCTTTTTTGATTTCTCATACTTATATTAAAAGCTATTGTGTAATAATTGCTGATACATCTCTAATGGGTGAATGAGTAATTTTGAGTGACTACCAGTTTTATAATTTTGAGAACATTATTTCTCTGTCTTAATTTGATATCTTTGAATTTTGGCAGGATGGCTTTAGATTGGGCTAAACACTTTGGGCAGAATGAAGTTGTGGATCTTTTAGAATCTTACAGGTAAAACTTTATACTATGTGTAATAAATCCAAACTCCTCTTTAAAAAAGCTTAGCCATGTAAATCATAGATAGTGACAAATTTATAGCCTCTTATCCAGATTTTGTTTTGTAATTCTAAGGAATTTTTCTGATTTTTTTTGTAGGTTGCTAATAAGATCCACTGTGTTATAATAGTTATTTTATTTTTAATTTTATTTTGAAAAAGCAGAGGGGAATTTCCAATTAAACACAGTAGCTACAAACACATGTATAGTATGTATCTCTGCAGTTTCTCAAAACCTCACTAAAATGATAAGGAAGGAATATAAAAATGTGTAAACTAACAGAGTGACTTGGCAAATCCAAATGCTAATTCTCGTCTGGTGGTTCTTGTTGTCATTTCAATAATAGCACTCAGAACTGAATCCTTTTAGTGCTGCCAGTTTGAATGTTTGGGACCTTATATGTATAGCTCACTGGACACTCCAGATTACCAAGTAAAGTTATTTACTGGTTAATATTTTAATTATCTTGGTTAACTGGACTTTCTTTTTATTTTCTAGATCATGGCATTATCAATTATAAATTTTAAATATTTCAAATTAAATTTATTGTGTTTGCTGGATAATTGGTATCTAAAGTTTATAGCTTAAAACAAAGAACACGTCTTCTTCATTTACCTGTTAAAGAGTAAGAAAAAAATAACTCAGAATGTTTTAAAGTGGATCTTAAAATTTAAATACCAAAATTATAAAGTTGTGTAAGTTTAATAGTTTCCCTATTGAAAGCAGTCTTATTTATGTTTACCTTCCTGCTAAACTCTTTCAGAGGGATTGCCCTATAATAATGAACTTCCTAGAAATCTTACTGATAATTACTAGCAATGAAAGTAGTGTATATTTTTACATACAGGATGAAAAAGCAAGGCATTTATTTCAGTAATCTATGTTGATTCTGGCTTTTGGAAAATAGCATAATTAATCTACTTTTAGTATAGAATTATGAAATTAAGAGTCTTGTTAACTTGATACCTATAGAATTTTTTTAAAAATGTGGACTTGTCTTCAGAGTGTTGTTTTTCATAGTGAAGAATGAGAAACAACCTACTAAGAAAATATAAATGGTGACCAGAATTTTGGTTTTTAAATTTTTATTGATATAAAATTCACAAACCATTTAATTTACCCATTAAGTGTGTAATTAATGATTTTTAGTATGTTTACAGTATTATGTGATCATTACCACAATTGATTTTGAGCACATATTCATCACCTCAAGAGGAAACCTATACTAATTAGTAGTCACTCATCATTTCCCCCAACTCTCCCAGTCCTAGGCAGCCATTAGTCTACTTCCTGTTTTTATTGATTTGTTTATTCTGGACATTTCATATAATTGGAATCATATAATACGATTGGTGGTCTTTTGCAGTTGGCTTCTTTTACCTAGCATAATATTTTCAAGGCTTATTTATCTGTGTTGCAGCATCCTTTTTCTGACTAATATTCCATCTCAGGGACAGACATAGTTTGTTTATCCTTTCATCAGTTGATGAACATTTTGGTTGTTTCCCCTTTTTGGCTGTTATGAGTAATACTGGTATGAACATTTGTATACAAATTTTTATATGGACATATTTTTATTTCTTTTGCATATATACCTAGCAGACAAACTGCTGTGGCATATGCTAACACTATGTTAAACATTTTGAGGATTGTCACATTGTTTTCCAAAGTGGCTACTACTATATTTTACATTCCTATTAGTGATGTGTGAGGGGATGGTTCCAATTTCTACATAACTTTCTCCAACCTTATGTCTTCTTGATTATAGTCATCCTAGTGGGTGTGATGTGTTATCTCTTTGTTTTGATAGTCATATCTGTAATGACTAATATTTTTTCTATTTTTGACTATTCATATATTTTCTTTGGAGCAATGTCTTCCTTCAGATTATGTTTTCTAAAAAGCAATTATTGCCCTGGCTGGTGTAGCCCAGTGGATTGAACATGGGCTGCAAATCAAAGGGCCGCTGGTTCGATTCCCAGTCAAGACACATGCCTGGGTTGTGGGCCAGGTCCCCAGTGGGGGCCACGTGAGAGGCAACCACACATTGATGTTTCTCTCTTTCTTGTTCTCCCTCCCATCCCCTCTGTCTAAAAATAAAAAGCAATTATTGCCAGATTTTACTTTGAATGATATACTTTAAGCCAAAACATGAATTATAGCTAGGACATTCAGTATCACTTACCCTCCTTAATGTGTATTGAAAATTTGAAGGACATAATAGTATAATGGAGAGCATTGGCCTTAAAAGATTACTTTCACTTTGTTAAAATAAAAATTGATTTGGTTTTTTATTTTTATTTTTGTTTTCATTTTTTTAAGTGCTTCATTGGAATTTGGAAATCTAGACGAAAGTTCTCTGGTTCAAAAAAGTGGAAGTGACCTCAGTGCAGAAGATAGAGAGCTCCTGAAAGCTTATCATCATAGTTTTGATGATGAAAAAGTAGACTTGGATTTGATCATGCATCTTCTATACAACATCTGCCATAGTTGTGATGCTGGTAAATAAGTGTTGCCTAAAGCAACTGGAGCAAAAATGTATAGTTTGATTTAAAAGTTAATATTTTGTCTGTATAAATTTTTATATAATTCCCTTGATAATAATGCATGTTATCTTGTCATAAGTATTACAGTTTATCAGTACTTGAAAACATGTGATATAGTTCATTTTAGCTAATTCTTTTGATTTGTTCTGGTTTTACAATGAAATTCAATATTAAATCATTTTTCTTCAAGGTGCAATATTAATTTTCCTACCTGGATATGATGAAATTGTTGGATTGAGGGATCGCATTCTATTTGATGACAAGCGGTTTGCTGACAATATACATAGGTAAAAGTTAAAGCATTATGTTTTTTGCTTTATATAAAAGATAGGTACTATAGTATATTTTCTCTTTCAATTGTCAACAGATATCAAGTCTTTATGCTTCATTCAAATATGCAAACATCTGATCAAAAGAAAGTATTAAAAAACCCACCTGCAGGTGTTCGAAAAATAGTAAGCTTCATAAAATCTTTGTTTTTCTATTTTAGTAGTCATTGGTTCTGTTTTCCTATTAACTATAACATAACATGCCATTGCAGATCCTTTCCACCAATATTGCTGAAACCAGCATCACAGTCAATGATGTTGTCTTTGTTATTGATTCTGGTAAAGTGAAAGAGGTATGTATGGATAAATTGTATTTCTAATTTGTTTTAATGGGAAAACTTCTGGCTCTAAATAAATTTAATGTAGTAAGTGTTAATTTCACAAAAGTGAATATTCTATCTTAAATAATTCAGGATATAGGATTTCTCGTGTTATTTTAACAAATTATATAAAAAATAAGCTTTTGCTCATAAAATACTAGGAAGAGAAGTGAAAGGTTTGCCTAGTTACAGTGATAACTGTGTCAAGCTGTGGGCAGTTGATCACATATTTTGTATGTTTTCATTCTGCATGTGGGAATAGTGCATGACCTTCTTATTTATTGTTATATCTTCAGGGCTCCACATGTTGTAGGTATTCAGAAGATACTTAGTGCAAGAGAACCATGCCAAAAGAAAGCAAACAAGACCATGGGCCCATTACCTGCTTTCATAAAAATACATTTCACTGGAACACTACCATGTTTATTCTTTGACCTGTTGTCTATGGATGCTTTTACACTGTAATGGCAGATTTGAGTAGTTGCAACAGAGACCGTCTGCAAAAGCTAAAATATTTAGTACCAGCCCCCACTCTAATAAAACGCAGTATTTATTGCCTTTTAGTATTGGAATGACTAGCAACTCTCCATACTCTTAACTTTTCACTGAAAGAATTGAAAATGATAAAGTTAGTTGATTTTCCAAGGAAAGAAATACTGTCCATGTTGTGGAAGACAAATTGTGTCTGTTCTAGTGGATATATGAAATTATTTTTAATATGAAGAATTTATTTTTATAATGTGTTCAATATAGGTTTTAGGAATATCTTATAAAAAATAAAATTTTATTATAAAATTTGGACATTTTATTATAGGTGGATACTGTCAAGGAGGAATATATATATATTTTTAAAGATCATTTATTTATTTTTAGACAGAGGAAGGAAGAAAGAGAGGGAGAGAAACAACAATGTGTGGTTGCCTTTCATGTGCCCCCTTACTGGGGATCTGGCCCCGAAACCCAGGCATGTTCCTTGACTGGGAATCGAACTGGCAACTCTTTGGGTCCCAGGCTGGCACTCAATCCATTGAGCCACACCAACCTGGGGTACATTTTATTTTTTATAGGAGGATAATTATGAATATTATCATTAAAAGTCTGAATAGGAAGTCAGTGAAACTTCATAGATTTTATTGCCTTAAAATTATCTAAAGGCTAGGAAGATTTTGAATATCTTAAAATTTAAATTATTTAGGTGTTATTTATCAGATAAACTATAGTTTAGAATATGATGGTATTATCAAAAAATATTTTACGTATAATGATGACTAATGTAAAATTTCATTAAAAACTAAATAAGCAGCATCTTTTCTAAAAATTCCACAATTAAACTATTATGAGAACATATTTGTATTTGTTTTATAGAAAGCTGTTTTTTGAAAGGGAAAGTATTATGTCACTGAATGATTGAAGTACATATTTTAGCTAGCAGTGCGTCTTTAAAAATCTTTTTCTACACTAAATTTTCGCTTTAGATTCTTTGAGGAAGTGTGCTGTAACTTTCTGGATGATTAACTTCATTTATAGCTCAGCAGGAGGTAAAATGGAAGTGGTTAAAACTTTTTGGCTTTGGGATAGGGTTGGTTCTGCAATTGTTATTCTTATTCCTCCAGATCAAGCTCCCTGGAAAGTATTTTAGAAAACTGTTTTTCCCTTATCATTTCTATTCCCCACAGTGATGTAAATCTGATGGAAAATGACAGAAAGAAAATAGATCAGTTCTTTCCAGCCTTGATGCCTGATGAGAACTGACTGCTATTATCCAAGTGTAGCAGAGAGAATCAAATAGCTTAGCAGGGCACAGAGTGAGGAACTTTTTCAGCACTTCTGAGTTTAGTTTTTATTCTTTTTCCTTAGAATGTTTATAGTCAGAAATATGGATTTAAAAAATAATTAGTACCCTGCTGTAATCATCTAATCTAGAGGACCTTTGAATTAAACTTAGCATATTAAAATATATTGTAGTATTTTGCTCTACTTAAAAACCTTTTATATTTTAACATGAAGATGATTTAAATATTACAGAAATCCTTTGATGCACTGAATTTTGTTACAATGCTAAAAATGGTGTGGATTTCCAAAGCTAGTGCAATACAACGAAAAGGCAGGTAATGTATGTTTAATGCACATTCAGTCAATTACTTGTAAAATGGAAACATCTGCATATTTACCACATATTAATGCATGTGGTATAAAATGTTAAAATTTTATATAATATTTTAAAATGTTAAAATTTTCATGTTTGTCTTCATTTTCTATTAACTTTGGAGAGCAATTTTTTAATACTTTAAAAAAATACCACATTTAGGTTATGTTAAAATTTAAAATTTGCCTAATCTACACTCATAAGAAACTTAAAAAATAAAAACAAAAATGTCAAACATTTCCAAAACAGGATGAAGAACTATTTTTGTACTATATAAAAACCCTTTTAAAAATAAATTAATAAAGACCACTATACAGGATCTGGCACAAATAATGCCCCTTTTTTATTACAAAATCATAAGCCTTTAATTCTGTAACATAACAACATCACACTCATACACATCATATGACATTTTAGATGAAATGTTCAAATTAAAACTATAAATTATTATGCCCATATTATTACACTACCAACCACACTCAAGTAGGTGTTGCTTCTGCTGGATTCTGTATTAACTTCATATATACCGCCTTATATGTACACCAAAATAGATGCAAATTAATGTGGTACTGTTTTTTGCTAATCAAATTTGACATTGATGAAAATGTTTAATAGTATTTGCAACAGACTTGGCAAAAAGTATAGGCCTACAGGCTTTCATAGTTTGCTGATGGGAATATAAATGGGTGTGATGTCTTTAGTAGGCAGTTTGAAACTCTTTATGTAAAACTAACCTTTGATAGTGGATTCCACCTCTCATAATTTTTCCTGAGTATAGTTGCACATGTTTACAAAGATGTATGTTTAAGAATGTTTTGCATAGCATTGTTTGCAATAGTTTGGGAACACTGTAGTGTTCCTCAGTAGTGAAGTGGTTAAATAAATTATTATAGACACACAATGGTATACCACTGTAACTGTTAAAAGGGAAATGTATAGGCCTATGTCTTTTTATGTGGAATGAATTTTCAGAATATATTAAGTGTGAAAAGTAAGATAAAGAACATATGTCTCATATTCTGTTGTACTAAAAATATATGCATATGTTTACATATATTTAGATAGAAATGCATTAAGTCTGAGAAAAACATTAAAAAAATTGTTAGCTCTGAGAAGAAGGATTTCTGGGGCTCTTGAAGGAAGGACACTTAATTTTTATTCTATATGTTTTTGTAGTTTGGTGATTTAGTACATGGTTTTTCATTTTTAAAAAGTCAAGATTAAAAAGTATCATTTCTCAGTAATTATTTGATTTTTTTTGCATTTTAATTAACAGGAAAGCATATTTAAAAGAATGTCTCATACATTGAAGATGGTGAATATATTACTTTTGTACTTTGTAATTTCCTAGAATGCCCTTGGGGGCATTGTTGTTGGTTATTGTATTAGTTGTCCTCTTATGACAAAGTATGGCTTGACACATATACTCTTATTAGTATATTGTCAGGAGTAAAAATCAGAAGTAATCATTGTCATTTTTCAACAGATAATTTTTTGACAGGCTTCACTGTTCAAGTGTTAGGGATACAATGCTAAATAAATCTGATGAGTCAAGTTTAGGTGGGGAAATGTTGCATTTCATCTTGGAGACCAATAGATTAAGCAATTTTTGTACTCTGTGACCTCTGCTACAACTGGGTAATGTTTTTAGAGGAGTTAAGGTATCATCTGAGATAAGTATGATAAAGAGTTGCGTGGAAAGGTATTTGCCGAAAGGGAAAAGTGAGCAAGAAAGTTATTTGGATGGAGTTTATTTTAGCAGAACATAGTGAAAAATGAGCAGAGAGAAGTTAAGTTGCAGACAGGTCCTTGAGGACTATTCCCCCCTCCCTGCTTCTCCTTCCTAATAAGCCAGGGGATGGCAGTATAATAGTATTCTTTTAGCTCTCTAAGGAATGAATTGGGAGAGACAAAAATGATGGTGAGAGGCTCCATTAATAATTCTATTTACAATAAGGGAGAGAGTAGCCTGGATTGTTATAATGGCGGTAGAAATAAAGAGAAGTAGATAATTCACTCAGGACATATTAAGAAGAATAATATTGGTGGTCATCTGTCCAGGGGTCAAGGGTAAAGAATCAAGTGGAATCAAGGATGTCCTACAGGTGTCTATTTTAGAAAATTTTGTGGTTAGTGGTGCCATTGTCTGATAGGGAAAATGGGAAGAGTGGTGATGTTGGGGAGAAGAATTAGCTTTTGGTAGTGTTAAGTTTGCACTGACTGTTGAAATTCAGCTGGAGGAAAGAGACTTGTGAAATAGCATTAGCATCAAGAGATGAAGATGGATGGAGATTATAAACAGTAGGATATTTAAGATTACCTTGTGAGAGAGGGTAGAGTAAGGACAATAGAGGTCTGAGGTCCAAGCTCAGAGGAACATGAACATTTACGGACTGTGCAAAGAGAAATCTCTCAGAGCAGACACTGTATAGGTGGAAAAGCTGATGAGTATGTAGTGAGGGAAGTATTCGATGAAGGAAGTAATGGTCCAACAGTGTCAGGTTTTGTAACTTGTATCATATTGTGTTATAGTTATGTTTGCCACTCTGGACTGTGGGCTTTGGGAAGATAGGGATTATTCCCGTGTCTTCATTATTTAGCATATTCTGCCTTGCCATTAGCTGATAAAGGAACAGTGGGTGAAATTAAGAGACTACTTTTCCTCAAGATATTTTTGTTACTAGCCAGAAAATTATACAAGTCTTTATGATGATGGGGTAAATGACATTGCCTTGGAGTTGTGTAATACATAATTTGTACAACTCTTAACAGTGCTTGGTATCAGCTCAGTAAAACTGATTAAATTTAAGTCACCACAGGTTTATTTATACCTTATTTTTTACTCATTTTCATATACAGTTCTTTTTTATTTTTATCAATACCCTAGATGTACAGAGGTAGACAAAAATAGGTTAATAAGAATACTAAATAAATAATAATACATGAATAAACTATATTTCACATACTCACAACTAGAGACCCTCTTTTGCTCACCCATGTATATCAGATAGGTATCATTCATGATCTCACTTTGCAAATGAGACATTTGGGTCCTAGACAAGTGAAGTGTCTTCTGAAAGGATTCATAGAGGGTAAGTACCAGAATAGGGATTGAAACTCAGATGTCCTGATAATGGTTCATTGTTCTGTCTCCTAAATCGCATTTGTTACACAGTTTCCTTATTATAGTCTTCATTCCTTGAGTTGTAATTTTGTATTTTACTTTTTAAGGGCAGGGCGATGTAGACCTGGAATTTGTTTCCGTCTGTTCAGTAGACTCCGATTCCAGAATATGTTGGAATTTCAGACTCCAGAACTTCTGAGAATGCCATTACAGGTAGAAGTTTAGTTAACTCTGAAAGGCTGTTTTTGTGGGTGAGGGAGGAAGAGGGACCATTTCAACTTAAGCTAATTAGACTTTTCAATAATTTATAAAACAAAATTATCAAATACATATTATAGAGGGTGGTTATGTATATAACTAATATTTTTTATATATAAGACAATTGATAAACCTCCAAAGTTTTAAAGAATTACTTGAGAGCATTTAAGTTATGGTACAGTTTATATTATTTTTTGTTTTATGCAACATTCTAGGAGTCTGTCAGCCATATAGTGTTCACCTTTTACATTCTTAATGAGGATTGGAAAACAAATTATTTAATCTCCAAAACATAATACCAAAATTTCAGTTTAAGATGCTTAGAATTACCTTGGTAGATTTGGAACTAAGTTTGCTGAGATTTCCTGGACTTTATTATTTTCCTTTAGGTTTTCTGACTTCATGAAACAGCCAGACACTATGTGGATAGTTTCTAGGGAAAACTTTCAGAAGAACACTAATTTGATTCTTTGGGGTGCTGAGCTAATGCTGATTTCCAAACTTTAATGAAACACTAGATCGTATATTTTTTAAAAAGAATTTATTTATTTATTTTTAGAGAGAAGGGAAGGGAGAAAGAAGAAGAGAAATATCAATGTGTGCCTCTCCTGCACCCCCCCCCCACCGGGGACCTGGCCCACAACCCAGGCATGTGCCCTGACTGGGTATCAAACCAATGACCCCTTGGTTCATAGGCCAGCACTCAATCTACTGAGCCACACCAGCCAGGGCTGTTCCTCTTAATTCTTAACCAGCACCTAAATTATCTCTCCTGCTTGTGTCTCTAGTTGTAATTTTTTAATGTTTGCTTTTTGTCCTCTTTCCACTCATACCAGTAGTTTCAATTTCCCAAACACATCTTATTTGTTTCTATCCCTTCTCTCTAGACTCCTCCCTTTTATTCCTTTTGTAATTAATTCCTACTCAATCTTTATATCTTAGCTTAAGTTCATTTCCTGAAATTGTTTTTGACTTCCCATGGCTTCCTTCTTCTGCATGTTCCTGAACTTGATTAAATCTTTTGTTTTACCTCTTTTGCAACCATGTCCTTCATAGCACTTATCACATTTGTAATTAAAGAGTTAATTATATAAGTATTCTGTTTTTCACACATAATGAAAACTCCCTGAGGGCAGATGCTTGTCTGACAGTCTGTCCTCTTCTACTTGCTGCATAGTGCCTAGCACTCAGTAAGTACCTGAATATTTGTTTAATGGATACAAGATTCCAGAATATAATATAAAGGAAAAAATATTTTTAGATAGTATAACTCTTATTGTTATATATAAAACTGTGTGAGGAGACATTGCCAGTGGTGGCAGTGGTGATGTTGACATGAGTTGTTGGAGGGCATTTATAACAATTCTGGCACCTAGGGCAAAGTGTGAGCCCATCTTTTATTGAAAGACATTGTTCCCTTTACTGTTCATTTTAGCCAGAGACTCTACTAGTTTTTGCTTGGGAACAATAGTTATGATTTTTTTAAAAATAAAAATCAATTATAAATTGTAGTTCTTCAAAATTATTTATTCTTATTTACAGGAACTTTGTTTACATACCAAGCTGTTAGCCCCAGTTAATTGTCCTATTGCTGATTTCCTTATGAAAGCACCAGAACCTCCACCAGCTTTGATTGTAAGAAATGCTGTACAAATGCTTAAGGTTGGTGTCTTAATAATTTTATTTAATCTGACTATTTTACTTGAAATTTAAACTAAACGAGTACACATGTTAACTAATTTTATACTTTAAAAAATTATCTTAATCATGTATTTTGAATAATACTGTTGTGGTAGTTATAATAAAACAGTAGTTTTTTTTTATATATTTGAAGAAAAATATATTTTTTGTGAGATGTGATAGCAAAACAAAAATTACATTTTTATTTCTGTCTTACAGATTTTTAAGTATGTTGCTTGACTAAACAGTTTTTGGTTAAGTCAAATTCTGTTTTGTATCCTTTTATTTAGACAATAGATGCAATGGATGCATGGGAAGATCTCACTGAACTTGGATATCATTTGGCTGACTTGCCAGTAGAACCTCATCTTGGTAAAATGGTCCTGTGTGCTGTTGTTTTAAAGTGTCTGGACCCCATCCTTACAATTGCCTGCACACTAGCCTATCGAGATCCTTTTGTCCTACCAACGCAGGCCTCTCAAAAACGTGCAGCTATGCTTTGTAGGAAACGATTCACTGCAGGGACTTTCAGTGATCACATGGCACTTCTCAGAGCATTCCAGGTACTGTCATTGTTATTTTAGTTCTGACAATATTGCTGGTTAAACACATTTCTGGGGCACATGTAACAAATTAAAAAAAAATATGATTACATTAATTTTTGTTAATTTTTGTTAATTTTGTTAAATTAATTTTTTATTTTAAAGTCACATTTTATTAATTGCCTAGAAAAAAATCTTCCTATTATTAATATGTTGAAATTATCATGGTTCTTCTTTACTTTTTTCCTTCCATTTTCTCTTTTAGGAATATATATATATATTTATAGTTGTATTTATTTTTAATTTTCAAGTTCTTTATCTTTCAATCATATCTTGGGCAAGGAATGCTCTAAATTTTTAGTTAATAACCATTGCATGTTATTCAAAGTATATAGAACAAAGCTTGAAAGAAAATTATCTTCAATTTATTGGCTTATTTTTAGAGTACATCATTTTCATGTGTGCTCAAGACCCTGTGTGAAAAACTTAATTTTATAAAGCAAAATCCGAAAATCACTTAAAGCCTATTAAGATAATAGCATTGAGAAATTGAGAAAAGTGCTAAATGGGAAAGAAAAGATAAGGAAAGTGAGACTCTGAAGAAGAGAAATTAAATATAGTTAGGAAATTTGGATGTAACAAAAAATGTTATTTCTTGAAAAGGTGTACATGTTATTTATTCTTAAATTCTCTTGAATGTAGCCTATGCCTGTAAATTTAAAAAATTTTTTCTGTTTGTACAGAAAGTATTGTACTTTTTTTCAGAGCATTTAAAAACATTTTTTTTTAAAGATTTTATTTATTTATTTTTAGAGAGGGAAGGGAGGGAGAAAGAGAGAGAGAGAGAAACATCAATGTGCGATTGCTGGGGGCCATGGCCTGCAACCCAGGCATGTGACCTGACTGGGAATCGAACCTGCAACACTTTGGTTTGCAGCCTGCGCTCAATCCACTGAGCTGTGCCAGCCAGGGCTTCAGAGCATTTTTTAATAGTACATACAATTTACAAAAAGAATTATAAGCTTTTTTGTGAGTTATTGAACTGTGGATAAATGCATTCATGTTAACTGAGTCTATTAGGTACCATATATTATACCAGATCAGTGGAGTGATAATAATTGGAGATAAGCAGAATTTTTATCTTCTTTTCCCCCAGCTCCTTCAAAAGCAGAGAGGATAGATAAATTACTGCTTTGGTAATATTTCAGTTAGTTATATTACAAAGCACAACAACTCATTTTCAAAGAGGAGCTCTCTTATACTACACATAGATGGTTTCTAGAAATCCCGCTTTCCATTCTCAGACCGATTAGGGAATTGATATAGATATTATTTTTGGAGGAATGGAGGATTCTTAAATGTAAATGGTATTATGATGGCTTATTTGAAAAACCTCCATAGTTTTGTGGAGGAAAATTAGCAGCTGTATCTGAAAGATAAATATTTTTACATAGTTGATCATTTAGGTTACCTGATGCATAGTTCTCTCATTGGGATTTATAAACTCAATGGTTTTCATAGCTTTTGAGTATAAATGAACTAATGATATATTTCATTTGTTCACAAGGTCTTAGACTTTATTTTTTATATTTAATTTTTAAATTACTTTTTAAAATTGAGGTATGATTGACATACAAGTTTCAGGCATATAACATAATGACATAATATTTGTATATATTGCAGAACGATCACCACAGTAAGTCTAGTTAACATCCATCATCACAGTTACATTTTTTTTCCTCTTGTGATGAGAACTTTTAAGATCTCTCCAGTATGTTAACTAGATTTATTATGAAGATTGTTTCCCAATATATAAAAAATGTCAAATTACTATGTTGTACACCTGAAAATTTATGTCAGTTATATCTCAGTAAAAAAGTTTATTTTAAAAAATGTCTACTTTTTTACCTACTTCCAAATATAAATACAATACAGTGTTACTGAGGTCTGTCTGGAAAAAGTCCAGTCATTGTTAGTATAACAAGAACAGCTTGTGTGACATGGATACAACTTGGCAGCCAAAGAGAGTGGGCTGAAATGTGCGTGTGTGAACCATGACAAATTTACTGTGCTAGTCAGTGGGGGCAGTAGACACTGTCAGGTGAGCAGGTGGCTGTCACATTCAAAATGACTGCGCAAGTAGAACAATGACTCTGCATCAAATTTTGTGTTAAGCTTGAACATTTCCTCCGTAGAAACTAGTTGGATGATTCAGAAGGCTGCAGCTATGGGCAACTGGTGAATGGTAGCTTCATCATGACATTGTGCCTGCTCATGCCTCATGTTTTGTGTGGAGTTTTTTGGTGAAACATCAGATCATCCAGGTGACTCAGTCCTCCTACAGCCCAGATTTGGTGCCCTGCAACTTCTGGCTTTTCCCCAAAACTAAAGTCACCTTTGAAAGGGAAGAGATTTCAGAGCATCAGTGAAATTCAGGAAAATATGATGGGGTAGCTGATGGTGACTGGGAGAACTGTGTGACGGCCCGAGGTGCTTACTTTGAAGGGGACTGAGGTGTCATTGTCCTATGTACAATGTTTCTTGTATCTTCTTGAATAAATGTCAATTTTTCATAGTACATGGCTAGATACTTTCTGGACAGACCTCATATTCACCATACAGTACATTATATCCCAACAACTTAACTTTAATTTATAACTGGAAGTTTGTATCATTGACCACCTTCATCTATTTTACCAACTCCCCCACTGCTGGTAACTGTGTCTGTCATCTGTATCTACAAGTTTTTTTTTTTTTAATAAAGTCTTATCTTTTATTAAAATAATCAGAAGGAGAATTGACCTTGAGTGGCTAATGTAATGGTTTTCAGTTACTGCTGCCTAAGAAGTGATTGGTAAATATATCTTATTATGTAATTATATTTTTATAGGCATGGCAAAAAGCACGGAGTGATGGGTGGGAGAGAGCCTTTTGTGAAAAGAATTTTCTTTCACAAGCTACCATGGAAATAATAATAGGCATGAGAACTCAATTGCTTGGTCAACTTAGAGCATCAGGTAAAAATTTCCCCCAAAGAACCTATTTAAACCACTGAGAGTACCCTGCCCATACCTCATAGTGTTTCTAGTGTTAACTGGTACCATCTTATATTATTTTTACGACATTATCACATTGTTGCATATCTTATATTCATGAACTGCTTTGTAGACTTCTCTGTGACCTTAACTTTTGTTTGTTGAAAAAAAAATGATATTGTAGAAGTTGTAGTTGAGAAATGTGTGAATTCCTTTCGATACTGTCAGTTGTGTACAATTTATAAGGTAATTATTTGTTGGTGGAGATCCATTTAAATATTATATTTATATATTATCACTATTAAATAAAAATTATTTAGTTCTATGAAATAGAAATTAGAAAAATTTAAGTAGATTGATATGAATACTGGCCTTCATATATTTGGAACATAAAACATCAAGTAATCACTTGAAGGCACTTTAATTTTTTTAAAAGAGAATGCCAGTGCTGCTACTTTATTTTAGAATTGCTCATTTAGTTTTGAGTAGCATAGTACATTGAAGAATTTGGCAGAAGAAAAGTGCCAGAACCTGAATTAACAGATTAGCTGATGTGCCAAAGTAATATGAGGAGTGAACCAGTGGATTTAGAATTGTTTCAAATATGGGGAAATATGAAGGATTTTTGAAATTTAAGCAAGAATACTCTATATTTATGTGACTTTACCTCCAGTGCCTATCATAACCAAAATGTTATTAATATCTTTCAGAAGAATGGTTTAGGTTTTCAGCTATGACTTCATTGTGTCTCAGATAGCAGCTTCTGAAGAACTTTATTGCAAGAATGTGTAATTTTAAAGAAGTCCCTAAGTCCCCAGTGAATCTTCTACTTTCTCTAGTCTGAGCAAACCTAAACTTTCTTAGAACATTGATTCTAATTTTAAACTAGATTTTATTATTTATTGTGGAATTTGAATATCATTATACAATTTTTTTTATTACAAAACACACAAGTTTAAAAGTATATTTGAACAATAGGAAAAGTGTGTGTGTATTTTTTTTTCCTGTTTCTAGGTTTTGTTAGAGCGCGAGGTGGTGGTGACATTCGAGATGTTAACACAAATTCTGAGAATTGGGCTGTTGTTAAAGCTGCATTGGTGGCAGGCATGTATCCTAATTTAGTCCATGTGGACAGAGAGAATTTAGTGTTGACAGGGCCAAAGGAGAAAAAAGTACGGTTTCATCCCACATCAGTTCTCAGTCAACCTCAATATAAAAAGGTAAAACATTCTTAATACTTTTAGGCCTTGAGGTGAAGCTAATCTAATTTAGATGGTTGAAAATCAATGAAAAAAATGTTCCAAATACTCACCTGCTTTAAGAAATTAATTAGTTTTATATATATATATATATATATATACATATATATATACATATAAATTAGCATTGTAACAAAATTTTGAATCTTAGAATTGGAAGAGTTAATGTGTTAAGTAATAAGGACTTTTTTTACAAACTACATGAGTAATGAATGACATGCTTTAATTTTTGCTTGGGTATACCTATTTCATTGAGGGACTTTTTACATAAGTGTTGCCAGTAAATTAGGTGATAAACACAATTAAAAATATTTAAAAATTTATTTTCCTCATAGATTCCTCCAGCCAATGGTCAAGCTGCAGCAGTTCAGGCACTGCCCACAGATTGGCTTATTTATGATGAAATGACCAGAGCCCACAGAATAGCTAACATCAGATGCTGTTCGGTAGTGACACCTGTCACAGTATTGGTATTCTGTGGGCCAGCCAGGTTGGCAAGTAATGCTCTTCAGGAATCTTCATCCTTTCGAGGTAAATGTGTTATGAAGATTGAAATAAACCTGTATTTGAAATGATATTATTTTTCTTTTTACTAAATCTAACAAATTTTGAAATTACAAAAACTTATGTAATAATAACTCCCTTTTGATATATCAGGTTGGCCAAAAAATCTTTGTTTTTTTCTGTGAAATAAAAGAAACATTTTTCATTTTCACCAATAACTTTATAGATTTGGATATTTTATGTTGACTATTTCCCACATGGTATAACGTTGTTGTTCTCAATTAATGTCTTCATTTGATCGCTATCAACTTCAAGTGTTCTACCCAACCAGGGAGTATTGTCCAGCAAGAAATCTTCAGCACAAACCACTTTTCAAACGTTTGATCAGGCACAGCACCTTCTCCATACACTGCACAAATCTTTTTTTGTGTTTCAGTTGCATTGTTACCTTTCTTGAAATAATTAAGCATAATATGCCAAAAAGGTTATGTAATGTTTTCCATCTTCAATATTAAAATGATTACACAAAAATTCACCAATTTTGATAAGTTTTTTTAAAGTGTATGCTGATATGACAGCTGTCAGAATACAATCTAACAAAATTGTTTCAAATGAAGTTAAAGATAACTCAGTGCTACTAGAGCCATCTTATAGAAAAAAACAGAAGTACTTTTTGGCCAACTTAATATTATGACTAATTAGAAAATGCTAACACGTATTATTGCTCTTGAAATTAATTTCTAAGATAACTTGATTTGTGCATTTTTTATTAACCTTAGGAAGGAAGTTTGATTTTCTCATAGAAAGTTTGTTTTTCTCTTCCACTGAATTTAAATGATAGTTTAACAAAAATAAAGGTGTCTGTTTAAAAGAAATAATAATAGTTATCCATAACCTATTACCCTAATGTAAACATTTTTAAATATTATGTATTCTTTCTATATATACATATTTTAAATTATTTTACCCATACTGTTATTTTATATTCTGCTATATTCATTGTGTTGAATATAAAAAAAACATTTTAAATATTTTATATTTATGGCTGCAAAATATTCTATCACCAAAGTAGCATAATGCATTTAAATGTGTTTCATTACATTTGGACATCTTGATTGTTTCTAATTTTTTGCTATTTGGTGATTTTGCAAATATTTATCGGGCAGCTACTATATGCCAGGTATTGTGCTAGGTATTGAGGATGTAACAGAAAACAAGATAGAAAAGGTGTTTCTGTCCTTAGGAGTTTCCATGGTTGTAGATGGTAGAGAGATAACAACAACAACAAAAGTAATTTATTTAGTACTGTGAAAGAAATAAAAACGGCTGCCTTGGGGGTGACTGACTTTAGAAACAAACCCTAGACAAGTTTCTCTGAGGAGATGTGATTTAAGCTGAGACCTAAAGTATGAGAAGAAGCCAGCCATGTGAAGATATATAAATAATCTGGCGAGGACCAAGATTCTGCATTAGGTCATGATCTAGAAATTGACAGAAAGCTTCTGTGATTGGAAACACAGTGATCAAGGAGAGAGTGGGTGGGATAAGATTGAATGAAAGGCATGGACTTGTAAATCATGGTAAATGCAAGAGAAGACATTGGAGGGTTTTAAGTAAGGGAGTGACATGATGTGATTTGTGTTCATAAAGATCATTTTGCCTGTGAGAATGGACTGCTGAAGCAACGAGAATGGCAGGGAGAAGACAAATAAGAGTTTTTGCAGTGGTCTTTATGATCGATAATGGCCCAGAACTACAGCAGTGGCAGCTGATATAAAGAGAAGTAGATTCAAAATTATTTTGGAAATAGTACCAGTAACTGCTAGGTTGAATGTGGGTGATGAGTGAAAGGGTGGAGTCATTAAATCTTAGGTTTTGGTAGCTTGCTGAATAACTGATGCCACTCCTTTGAGATTGAGAAACTGGGAGGAACAGATTGTGTAGAGGAAAAGTTGAGTTCTATTTTAGACATGTGAAGTTTGAGATGGCTAAGGCACCCTAAATAAGAACTTTTTTTTTCTGGAGACATTGGGAATTATATATCTGGAGCTTAGGAAAGAAGCCTGGGCTAGCAATGCAAATTTGGAAGTCACCAGCTTGTAGATGATATTAAAGACAGAAGACTGGATGGCCTAAAGGAATGTGTAAATAGAGAAGAGGGTTGTTGACAAAATTCAGAGAAATTCTAATATTTAGAATTTGAATAGAGGAAGAAGGAGTGACCAAGTGTTGAAGGTAAATATGTTTCAAGAAAAGAATGGTCAGCTCTTTTGAATTTTACTTTGAGAGATTGAAAAAGACATATACTGAAAATTGTTTGTTGTATTTGGCAGTATGGTGGTCATTGATGACCTTAACAAAAGCAGTTTTATTGGAGTGATGGGGCCCATAGCGGGTTAAGTTTTTATAGAAAGATAGAAACAGCATATAACTCATGAGGAAATGGATAAGGTGGGGGCACTGGTATTGCGCATTGATGTCTTCATCTATGTGCTTTTTTGTTTTCATAAATATTTTTCTTGGGATAAAATTTCTTGAAGTAGAAAAAAATATTATTTATGATTCTTCCCTCATACACAGCCATATTAGGGCCATCAAGAATGAATTTCAGCCCTGGCTGGCGTAGCTCAGTGGATTGAGCGTTTGATTCCCAGTCAGGGTACATGCCTGGGTTGCAGGCCATGACCCCCAGCAACCGCACATTGGTGTTTCTCTCTCTTTCTCTTTCTCCCTCCATTCCTTCTCTAAAAATAAATAAATAAAATCTAAAAAAAAAGTGAATTTCATTGCAATTGCACCATCAGTAGGTAGTAGTTTTATATATAAATTTGCTATTTTAGCAAAATACGCTAGTAAAATAATATACTTTAAAAAAGGTTTCTTTCAGCCTTTTTTATTATCATATATCATGAATTTTGGGGGGTTTTACATAATTTGAGTTCTGTGTTTTGACTAGTATATATTCAAATTGAATAATTTTTTCGTATACTTCTCATTCCAAAGCTGAGACAGTTTCATTCTTCCATGGACCTGATAAGTATTCTGTTTTTTTTTTCTTTTTCTATAATTTGAATTTTTAGATAGTTAATTTTTTCAACCATGCTGCATTAACTGTGGTTTAAAGTGTAGATCTAATACCTTACAAGGGCTTTCCTCTCACCTGCACCATTTATTAAATAATCCTTAATAATCCTTATATATAATCCTGATATATCCTCTTTTAAAAGTTGATGTTAATTTCATATTACATTGGGCATTTATACATTTTTGTTTATTCCTTTAAATTTCTGCCTTTATATAGTAACATCTTATTCAATATTTTTGTTATTTATTAAGCTGTAATATCTGGTGGTAGAGGATCTACTTATAATTCTTTGCTACTTTTCTATTATTAAGCTATTCTTTGATAATCTCACTTATTTTTATGAATATCTAGTAGTCATCTTTTTGTAACCTTTTTTTTGCACCCAACATTTCTTTTGTGATTTTAATTTAGTTTTTGCTTCCAGCAAATTTAGTATATTCTTCTGTTTAGTGAAACCTTCTATTAAATTTAGCAATATTTTTTTGGTAACTTTATAAAGTTTGGGTATGATTCTTAAGATGTTTTGTTGCTGTTTTTGAATTATTACATTGAATAGGTTCTCTTTCTCATTTTCCTGCTGATCTTGCTTAATAAGAACACTACTACAGACAGTATATTATAATTACTCTGTTGTTTTACTAAGCTCTTACTAATCGTTTTGATTCTCTATTTCTTAAATTATGTCACCTTCTTAAATTATGTCACCTTTAGTGGTAATATTTTAATTTGTAACTAAAGTTTATTTTTTCATTTTTTTACATGATTTTGGAAAACCATGTTAATGGTCTACTTTGTCTTTCTGAATTTTAAAGGTTTAAATTCTAAAGTTGTATCACTGATTATAATGTTAATTTTCATTTTGATAAATTATTTATTAAGAAAGAAATGTTCTGTTTTTAATGTTTTAAAAAAGTGTTGAATTTATTAGTTTTTGAGCATTGGTTCATATAACCACAATTTGTTTAGCTTGTTGATGTGATAAATATGTTTTATTTATGGAAATACCATTTTGTTCCAAGGATGAACCTTTCTTGGACTAAGAATAATTTATTGCAATGCTAAATATTTTGCTAGCATTTATTAAGTTGGATATATTTATGTTCATTAGTGAGGCTGCTCTATAGGGTTTATGTGGTGAGTCCATCTGAATGTTTAAGTACCAGGTTTTAGAGTTAGGTTTAGATTTTCTTCATTAAAGGAACTGGCCATTATATGATTTCTCAAAAGTTTGACAGACTTGGTGTTCTGGATTTCTTTGTTGTTCTTTAATGGCATCTTGAATTCCTTCCTTAAATAGCTTGAGTTTTTCTATTTCTTATTCTTTCAGTTTTAGTAATTACTTATTCTTTGTTTTGTAGAAAAGAATATATTTCTTTGCAGGTTTCAAGTTTCTCATTCTGTAATTATGCATACTATGTCTTTTTAGCTTAACACGTTTTGTATTCATTTTTATAATCTTATTCTCAGTTCTGACTTCATAGTTAGATGTGTGCTTTTTTTCTCCTTTATTTTTTGAGGTACAATTTGATTAAAAATATGGATCAAAAGACTTTAAAAACGCTTTTTTACTTTGGGTTTCTCCTGTCTTTATGGTTCTTTGAAAATTTTTTATGGTATATTTTATTGATTATACTATTACAGTTGTCCCATTTTTTTCTCCCTTTTATTCCCTTCTACCTCATACCCTCATTCCATCCAGCATTCCCCCCCTTGATTCATGCCCATGGGTCGTACATATAGGTTCACTGGCTTCTCCATTTCCTATACTATCCTTAACCTCTCTCTGTCTGTTTTGTACCTACCAATTATGCTTCTTATTCCCTGTACCTTTTCCCCCCATTCTTCCCCATCACCCTCCCTGCTGATAACCCTCCATGTGATCTCCATTTCTGTGATTCTGTTCCTGTTCTAGTTGTTTGCTTAGTTTTTGTTGTTTTTCTTTTTTTTTTAGGTTCAATTGTTGATAGTTGTGAGTTTGTTGTCATTTTAATGTTCATAATTTTCATCTTCTTCAATTTTTTAGATAAGTCCCTTTAACACTTCATATAGTAAGGGCTTGGTGATGATGAACTCCTTTAACTTGATCTTGTCTGGGAAGCACTTTATCTGCCCTTCCATTCTAAATGATAGCTTTGCTGAAGAAAGTAATCTTGGATGTAGGTCCTTGCCTTTCATGACTTTGAAAACTTCTTTCCAGCCCTTTCTTGCCTGCAAGGTTTTGTTTGAGAAATCAGCTGATAGTCTCATGGGCCCTCCCTTGTAGGTAACTGTCTCCTTTCCTCTGGCTGCTTTTAAGATTCTCTCCCTATCTTGAACCTTTGGCAATGTAACTATGATGTGTCTTGCTGTGTTCTTGTTGGGTCCAACTTGTTTGGAACTCTCTGTGCTTCCTGGGCTTGTAAGTCTATTTCCTTTACTGGATTGGGGGAGTTCTCCATTATTTTTTCAAATAAGTTTTCAACTTCTTGCTCTTGTTCTTTTCCTTCTGGCACCCCTATGATTCAGATGTTGGAATGTTTAAAGTTGTCCCAGAGCTCCTCCTCATTTGTTTGAATTCTTGTTTCTTCATTCTGTTCTGGCTGGATGTTTAGTTCTTCCTTTTGTTCCAAATTGTTAATTTGAGTCCCAGTTCTCCCTGCACTGTTGGTTCCTTGTATGTTTTTCTTTATTTCACTTTGTATAGCTTTCACTTCTTTATTTTGCATGCATACTCAACCATCTGTGAGCATCCCAATTCCCAGTGTTTTGAATTCTGCATCTGATAGGTTGTCTATCTCCTTGTTGCTTAGTTCTTTTTCTGGAGTTTTGATTTGTTCTTTGATTTGGGCCATATTTCTTTGTCTCTGCACATCTGTTATGCTGTAAGGGGTGGAGCCTTAGGTATCCCTGGTGTGGGGCAATCCATATTGCTGCATTGTGGTACTGTATCTGGGGGAGAGATCAGAGAGGGAACAATGCCACTTGCGTGGCTCTTGCCCTGCTTTCAGTGACTTCCCCCACTTCCCACAAGCGAAATGGACCCTTTTAGATGCTGCCTCACTGCTGATTCCCAGGTGGATGGACCTACATATGTTCTGTGATCCAGTGGACTAGACCTCCAATGGATTCTCCTGTGAGACTGGCAGTTTTTCCTGTACCACAGCCCCCACAAATTTTTTTGGAGGTTTTGATGCTTTATTTCCCAACGCTGGAACTCTGGGTTGCATGGTTTATCTAGCTCCCCAGTTGTTCTTCCCAGTGTATCCACAGGCTAATATGGTACCACCCCAAATGCCAGCTGCTGCCTTGCTCTGCATCCTTTCTGCCCCCGCTGCCCTTCTCCACCCTCTTACCAGTCTGGTCGAATGTGTCTTCTTTAACTTCTTGGTTTTCAGACTTTCATACAATTAGGTTTTCTGGCAGTTCTGGCTGTTTTTTTTTGTTGTTGTTTTTTTTAAAAGTTTGTTGTTATCCTTCTTTTGGCTGTGCAAGGAAGCCAAGCGTATTACCTACGACTCCATCTTAGCCAGACCTGTAAAAACTCTTTTTTTCTCATTTTCTTAAATTTATCAGAGGTTTGCCCTTTAGGTTTTCAAGGAACTGGATTATAGTTTTAACTACTAATAACATTTGACTTACCTAATGTATAATTTTTGGCTTATTATTTTTAGTGTTTTTGTTCCTTTATGTTCTTAGTTTTTTTCTTTCTCTAGTTATTATTTAAATATTGTATTTTTAAATTTCTTGTCTTTTTTGTTTTGTTACGTTGTGATGAAAGATTGTATTCTCTACAATTCTTTTTTTTACCTTTTCTTTTAAATATTGAGATTTAATTTGTGACCTGTGGGATTTAGAGAACTCTCCACACAAATTATTAGTATATCAGGAGGATTTGTGTATATGTGGAGTGTCTTTAATTTACTTACTCTTTTTGGGTATTGTATAGGATGGTAAAAGTGAAAATATTTTTCTTTTCTATATTTTTCGAACAGCAGATGGTATTCCTATTGACAGTAGTGATAGTGAAATGGAAGATAGAACTACTGCTAATTTGGCATCTTTGAAACTTGATGAGTGGCTGAATTTCAAACTAGAGCCTGAGGTAAGTTGCTTTTTAGTAGTGTGATAAATTTCTTTCAGTTAGTATGAATTGATAAACAATGTGATAAAAATTATATATTTAATATTGGGCTCTTAGTATTAGAGAATACAGTTTGTTCAGTTGTATCAGGGTTTATTCCAGAGGATTTGAAAAACCTAGGTGTCAGTCAGCATTTATGCATGGTAATATTTGAGCATTTTTGTGTATATAAGAAAATACTGAGTATCGGGTGCACCAGAACTCCCTTTATTTTGTACAGTTATTTCTAAGAGAAAGACATGAGTTATTTTCTCTATTCACATATCTCTGAATTGGTAAAGAGGAATGCTTCTTTTCAAATTAAAAACTTTTCTTGACAAAGCCTTCTCTTAATTCCATCTCCACTTTTGAAGATAATTTTATATCCTTTTGTTTTGGTAGCTGAGCTGTGAATAATCAACATTGGCTAGATTTACTTTTTTACCATTCATTCATTCATTCATTCATTCATTCACTGATCACTGCAACCTACTGTAGTCTCACTTGCATTTTTACCAGCCTGTCCCTTTACTGAAATTGTACTTGTTGGGGCCAGCATTGTCCTCCATGCTGTCAGAGCCATCCTGATGTCCTTGACAAATTTGACCATTCCTTGTTGTTTTTTTAAAGTATATTTTATTGATTATGCTATTACAGTTTTCCCAATTTCCTCCCTTTACCTTCCTCTGCCCTGCACCTCCATCCCTCCAGCATTCTCCCACTTAGTTCACATCCATGGGTTGTACATATATGTTCTTCAAATTCTTTGTTTCCTATACCATTCTTGACTTCTCCCCCTCTATTATATGCCTACCAATTATGTTTCTTATTCCCTGTACCTTCCCCCCCATGCTTCCCCACCCTCTCCCCACTGAAAACCCTCCATGTGATGTTCATTTCTGTGATTCTGTTCCTGTTGTTTGCTTAGTTTTTGTTGTTTTTCTTTTTTTTAGGTTCAGTTGTTGAAAGTTGTGTTTGTTGTCATTTTAATGTTCATAATTTTCATCTTCTTCAATTTTTTAGATAAGTCCCTTTAACACTTCATATAATAAGGGCTCGGTGATGATGAACTCCTTTAACTTGATCTTATCTGGGAAGCACTTTATCTGCCCTTCCATTCTAAATGATAGCTTTGCTGGAGAAAGTAATCTTGGATGTAGGTCCTTGCCTTTCATGACTTTGAAAACTTCTTTCCAGCCCTTTCTTGCCTGCAAGGTTTTGTTTGAGAAATCAGCTGATAGTCTCATGGGCCCTCCCTTGTAGGTAACTGTCTCCTTTCCTCTGGCTGCTTTTAAGATTCTCTCCCTATCTTGAACCTTTGGCAATGTAACTATGATGTGTCTTGCTGTGTTCTTGTTGGGTCCAACTTGTTTGGAACTCTCTGTGCTTCCTGGGCTTGTAAGTCTATTTCCTTTACTGGATTGGGGGAGTTCTCCATTATTTTTTCAAATTAGTTTTCAACTTCTTGCTCTTGTTCTTTTCCTTCTGGCACCCCTATGATTCAGATGTTGGGATGTTTAAAGTTGTCCCAGAGCTCCTCCTCATTTGTTTGAATTCTTGTTTCTTCATTCTGTTCTGGCTGGATGTTTAGTTCTTCCTTTTGTTCCAAATTGTTAATTTGAGTCCCAGTTCTCCCTGCACAAGGGTTTCTACCTATGCCTCCATCTTGGCTGAATCTCCCATTGCTCATTTTTTGGCACTATTGTGTATACCCTTCTTTTTTTAATTCTCTCTTTCCTATTTTTCCTCTTTGTCCTGCCCCAGTTTCTTTGTCACCAGTTACTGTGGCAATCTTTCCTGATTCTTTTTTTTTTCCCTAGGGAGGTCATTCCTTCTTAGGTTTTTTTCACTGACTCTTCTGTATGTATTTCTGCCTTAAATGTTAAATTTCTCCAGTACTCTGTGCCTTTCTCACTATCTCTGCACAGTCTCTAGGGACTTTACCTCTGCATGTAGATTTATTAACCATTTATGTGCATTGATGACTGCCAAGTCTATACCTAGCTTAGGCCTTTTTCTGGGCCTATGAATCCAGCTGCTTTCTGGACATCATTATTTGGATGTTCCACAGGCACTAAAATAAAAGATGAATGGAACTGAATGAATTTTTCTTTATCTGTTGTTTTTCCGTTTTACTCACATTCAACCACACATTGAATATTGTGTCTCTGATTAAACTGTTCTATTTGATTTTGTGCCTCAAATATGGTAAATAAATTTTATTTTGTTTGTGCTACAGAAAGGATGAAATTAGTAGTAAATTATGTGAAATGTAAAACTTGTTCTTTGGTAACATTTGTAGACCTTAACTAATAAACAAATAGGTGTCTTGCTAGGATCTATTTGAACTGATGAAACTATTTTATTATAGGCTGCCAGTTTATTGCTGCAGCTTAGACAGAAGTGGCACAGCTTATTTTTACGCCGAATGAGAGCTCCATCTAAACCTTGGTCTCAAGTTGATGAAGCTACCATCAGAGCAATTATAGCTGTTTTAAGCACTGAAGAACAGTCTGCAGGTTTGCAGCAACCATCTGGGATTGGCCAAAGGCCAAGGCCTATGTCTTCAGAAGAACTTCCTTTGGCATCATCTTGGAGGTCAAATAATAGTCGGAAAAGTTCAGCAGATACTGAATTTTCTGATGAGTCTGCTACTGCAGAAAGGTAAATTTATAATATATTATTGAAATGGAGACTTTTTTTCAGGAAAATGACTTATTTATCATTGAATCATGTGCTTTTATTATTTAGAAATTACATTCTTATAATGTAAGATACACAAAAAGGTCATGATAAAATGGGAAGAGATTCTTCCTTTTAAAGCATAATTCTTTTTTTTCTTTATTGTTGACCCTAAAACATAATTCCTTTAAGTATTAAGATAGTATGAAGGATTTTTTAAGCTATGTATCTATGAGTTTTTTAATAAGGAATTTTCTTGTCAGGAAAAATGCAAAGTATTTAATTTCAAGATTCATAAATTTAGGGTCTGTTAAAAAGATAGCAACATTTTAAAATTATACATTTTAGTTAATACTATGTATAACTAAACTATGTATAACTATGTATAACTATGGGGTCTTTCCTAGATACCCTACAACAAGAAGTTGGGTATGGCCATTTAAAAGAACAACCTCCCCACAAGTATTACTTAGATATCAATATTGCTGACTAATATTCCTACAGGAAAATCATTCATTCATTCATTCATTCAATTAGTGACACACTGAGTGCCTTTTGGTGTTGGTGTGAGGGCTATAGCAGTGTACAGAACAAACAGAATCTCTTCCTTCAGAGAGGCTATATTTTATTGAGGAGAGGTATGTAATAAATAAGTTAATAAATGTATTGGACAAAATTGTTTTGATTTAGCCAAATTCTTTCAATACTGGTATTTAGTAATGTGCTCTTTTTTTTTAATTTAGTAATTAGATGTGATGTTTTTATTTATTATATGATTTTCAATAATAAGAAAGCTCTTACTGATTTATCAAAAAATATATTATGATATAATAGTGGTTATGATGAATCATTGGCCATGATTCAGAAATATTTCTTGTAAACACATTTATTAAGATCAAATATAAATTTCTTTATATCAGTTAAAAAAAATTTTACCTGTTGATAACAAAGACATGTTGCCTGTGATGCTAGTTTTGGCAATGTTGGCGGAAAGTCTCTGTAGTAAAAATATGATTTTACTGGTAAAAAAATGAAAATAGAAGCAATGAAAATAAAAGATGTGATGCTTACTGTTTTTCAAGGATCATATAGAGATTTTAATATCGTCTTTTTTAAGTCATATTTTGCATATTTCATTTAAACATAAAGGCTTCTATTTGTTCACATTTCAGTGAAAGAGGAATAATATATATTGGTTTCCAAGTTCTTCAGATACTACATTTTAGGAAAATTCATCCAGTTGCCCAGAAAATCAAATAATGCATGTGCCTGAATCTTTCTGATGTAGACCCTCTTGAGCAAAAGGAGTATAGTATTGTAAAAAGCACATTTTCTACTTACACAACCCTCACTTTTTGAAAACATTGTTGTAAAATTTTACTTGAAGAATGATGATGTAGAATGTACAAATACATTTCCATAGAAATTATGCTGTCTAGTTATTCCTATACCTGTCTATAAAAAAACCTGTTAGAGTCATAGAGATGGAATGTGTGTGTGTGTGTGTGTGTGTGTGTGTGTGTATGGATACATACATGTGTGTGTGTCTATATTCACACACAGATGTGTACACTCAGACTTTATGGAAAAAAAGCTTCCTTTTCCTTTATGAAGTAGTATACTCATTTGATAAAATTTGGAAATAACAGAAGGAGAATAGAATTATAAGTGTAATGTTAGTTATATTTTAGAAACTGATCATCTTATGAATCAGTTTTTCACTTGTGATACCAGGATTAAGCATTTTCATTTTGTAGCCTGACATTTTTCATTCTCTTACCTGTTGAACAACAGGATATAGGATTTTATCTACTTGCAGACTTTTAGAGATATTAATAGTTGATGTCTAGAGTTGATGTATCTTTGTGAGAAATAGAAGAGGTATTTATATTCACTCTAGGATGGCAAGATGTTGATTACATAATTTTTACAAAATAAATCATACTTTGAATTGAAAATATTTAAAAATAGTTTAAGAAACTATTAAAATAATAGAAATTGCCTATATCCCATTCTAAAGTCAAACCAATGTTTTTTTCCCTTGTCATTTTCAACTAATAGTTTGATGGCAAAAGACAAGCCTATCTTGACTGTAAAAAAAAAGAGATATAAGTGAGTTCCCTGTTAGAAGTCCTTGTTCCTCTTAAGTGACAACTTAGGAAGGGTTTATTTATGGAATACTTCATTTCTACAAATGAAATTTTGGGGAAAAGCTAAATAGGAGAGAAAAAAAAGCTAGAATAGAACTCACAGTAAAGATCAATTTGAAAATCACAAAAGTAGATATTTAGTTCTATTGAAAACAGTTTTATTTTGAAAAAGTCTTTACCATCATTAAGTTCTGTCTTTGCATGTTCAGGTCAGTTAGGTACCAGAGTAAGAATAATGGAATTTTAGAGGTAATAACTAGATAATTTATTGAACTTTAATTCCTCAGAGGAAAAAACCCTGAAAAGTTATTTTTATGCTTCTTATCAAGTTGTTAATGATTCATATACCTGCTTATTATATTTTTGTTAATATCTTTAAGTTTTAACTATTTTATTTCATTTGTGAAAGAAACAATCCTTGATGTAAGATGTATTATCGAATTGGAACAAATTATGGGCATAGGCTGTTTCAACTTGTCTTGAAGGCAGGGCTTGAAAGACTGTATGGGTGCTTATGAATTATTGAACACATCCTTTTTTGTTTTAAATGTGTGTTATAAGTATTGTTAAATATGGCAAAGTAAATGTTATGTCATGATGGACTCCATATCCCAGATTCAAGTTAGCAAGATGTTCACCTACTTGTTGTATGTACCCAAATATTCTTCTCTTTTGCTTTCTTTTTTTGTTTGAATATTTCAAAATAGATACCGTATTTTGCTATGTATAATGTGCTCTTTTTTTTTTTGCCCAAATTTTTGAGGGAAAAATAAGGTTACACATTATACATGAGTAATAATGATTATATACCATGGGCATAATAATGGGATGCTGTGTATAATGTGCACATAAGTGTGAGTATGCATTATACATGGCAAAATACAGTACCACACTTACTGTCATAATACCCTTCCATATTTAAATCTACATCTCTTAAAACTATAGGCAATTTTTCTACATAATCAGAATCCAATTATCAACCCATTAAAAAGATTGTTTCCCCAATTCCCCACAAATGTATTTGAGTTAGCATTCAGGGAGAACTTATGCGCTGTATTAGGGTGTTATGTTTCTTGAGTCTCTTGTGATTTAGAGCTGTTCCCATGTTGACTGTTTTGGAAAAGCTAGGCCAATAGCACTGTGAGATGGACAGCAGGTCCTTGAATAAATCCTTTCATTAAAGTGTTTCATTATAATGTTGATGAGATACCATAGTTAACTCAACTCTTGTTTATATCAATTCACCTATGATAGAATTGGTTTCATCATACATTATTTTGCTTAAAGTTGCAGAACTTGTTAATGCTGAATACTTACTGTACCACATTTTAGATTTGTCTCTTTATTTCTTTCTGGCATTATTTATTGCTACACCTTAAGTATTTCATGTAAACTGGTAGTTTGTCCTCAGTGCTTGATTAGATCCAGTGTTAGGGTGACAATGTTTTATAGGAGGTGCTATGAACTTGTATGACTTCAGGAAGTACATATATTTTTAAAAATGTCTGGTTGTTACACAAAGGCATATACTTTTTAAAAAAGATTTTATTTATTTTTAGAGAGAGGGTAAGGGAAAGAGAAAGAGGGGGAGAGAAACATCAATGTGTGGTTGCCTCTTGAGCATCTCCCCCTAGGGACCTGGCCTGCAACCTGGACATGTGCCCAGACTGGGAATTGAAATGGCAAGCCTTTGGTTCACAGGCTGGTGCTCAGTCCACTGAGCCACAATAGCCAGGGCAAGGCATACACTTTTTAAGCTCAGATAAATTTAGAGACTTGCCCAGGATCACATACCTAGTTAGTTATAAATTTAGTACTGCCCTAGAAATCTTCTATCCTGACTCTAATCCAGTATTATTTCCACTTTACCATACTGTAATTTTCAGTATGCTTTTAAAATCTATTTTACTTGGCCCTAAGATGTTCTATGAAGGTAGAAGGGAAGTGAACTGGGTGATACTCCAGTAAGGGGCATTGGCTTAGATGTAGTTAAATAATTTTATAATGTTAAAAAACATTAGGGGACTTCTGGCCAAGATGGAGGCATAGGTGGATGCACCATACCTCCACACACAACCAGGATTGGAACAACAATTTAGAGGCAGAATAACACCTAGAACTGACAGAAAATTTATCTGAATGGAAGTCGGACAGCCAAGAAGTTGAAATAGACCCATTCATAGAGACCGGTAGGAGGGGTGGAGACGGGCAGCCAGGTGCAGGTTGTGGCGCAGAAAACAGAGAATTGGGTGCATAAGGCAACCGGTAGTTCATAAGGCATTTGGGGCATGCAAGATCGCAGCGGTGGACCCTGTGTATGCAAGTGGCAGCTGGCAGACCCAGTGAGGTGGCGATTGTGGAGCAGGGAAGAGTGCGCAATCGAGGATCCCAGGGAAGGGACTGAGGTCCCACGGAGAACAGAGCTGCCGCCATTGTTCCCTCTTGACCCCGCCCTCACATACAATGTCACAATCTAGCAACTGGGGTGCCCAGCCCCAGTGAACACCTAAGGCTCCGCCCCTCACTGTAACAGGAGCAACCAGACCAAGAAAAAAAGAGAGAGAGATGGCTCAAACAGAAGAACAAATCAGTGCCCCAGACCTCATCCTTTTGAGCGACCAAGAGATAGCTAACCTATCAGATGCACAGTTCAAAACACTGGTGATCAGGAAGCTCACAGAATTGGTTGATTTTGGTCGCAAATTAGATGAACAAATGCAGGTTACCATAAAAGAAATGAAGGAAAATGCACAGGGAACCAATAGTGATGGGAAGGAAACTGGGACTCAAAATAATAGAGTGGACCAGAAGGAAGAAAGAAACAACCAAACAGGAAAGAATGGAGAAATAAGAATTCAAAAAAATGAGGAGAACCTTATGAACCTCCAGGACATCTTTAAACGTCCCAACATCCAAATTATAGGGGTACCAGAAGGCGAAGAGGTAGAGCAACAGACTGAAAATGTATTTGAACAAATAATAAAGAACTTCCCCATTCTGGCAAAGGAAATGGACTTCCAGGAAGTCCAGAAAGCTCAGAGTACCAAAAAAGTTGGACCCAAGGAGGAACACACCAAGGCACATCATAATTACATTAGCCAAGGTGAAAATGAAGGAGAGAATCCTGGAAGCAGCAAGAGATAAGGAGACAATAACCTACAAACGAGTTCCCATCAGACTGTCAGCTGATTTCTCAAAAGAGACCTTGCAGGCAAGAAGGGGCTGGAAAAAGTATTCCAAGTCATGAAAGACAAGGACCTATGTCCCAGATTGCTCTATCCAGTAAAGCTTTCATTTAGAATGGAAGGGCAGATAAAGTGCTTCTCAGATAAGGTCAAGTTAAAGGAGTTCATCATCACCAAGCCCTTATTTTATGAAATGTTAAAGGAACTTATCTAAGAAAAGAAGATTAGAAAAAAAACATGTATAGTAAAAGGACAGCAAACTCGCAATTATTAACAACCACACCTAAAACAGAAACAAAAGAAACTAAGCAAACAACTAGAACAGGAACAGAACCACAGAAATAGAGATCACATGGAGGGTTAGCAACAGGGGAGTGGGAAGAGGAGAGAGGGGGAAAAGGTACAGAGAATAAGTAGCATAGATTGTGGGTAGAAAATAGACAGGGGGAGGGTAAGAATAGTATGAGAAATGTAGAAGCTAAAGAACTTATAAGTATGACACATGGACATGAACTAAAGAGGGGGAAGTGGGTGGGAGAGGGTGTATAGGGTGGAGGGGAGTGAAGGGGGGAAATGGGACAACTGTAATAGCATAATCAATAAAATATAATAAATAAAATATAATTGTTAAAGACCTCTCCTATACCATCATAAAAGAGGTTAGGAATTTTGTAAGAGAAATAATACTTGAGTAATTGTTAATATGAAGTTAAAGACTTTTGAAGATTGTTTATAAAGCATTTTTGCCTATTGTTTTTATAAGTGTATCCTAATAGTCCAACTGTTTCTTAGTTTCAAAATGTAATAGAAAAATGAAATTCCCTTTTTAAATAATGTTCTGTAAATTATAATGTCCTTGAAACTTTGGTTTGAAATGGCATCTGATTTGTGTTATGAGCTTATATATAACTTACACATAATGGGCCTTTGCTTCCTCCTTCTCACTCAAGAGTATTGATGAAATCTCCATCTCCAGCATTACACCCACCTCAGAAGTACAAAGATAGAGGAATTTTACATCCTAAACGAAGCACTGATGACCGATCAGATCAGTCTTCTGTAAAGTCTGCAGAAGATTACCCAAGTCCATGTGCTAGTCCTTCTCCTCCATCCTCAGGAAAGGTAGAGTATCTAAAAGTCCATGTAGCAAGGAATGGATGTCTAGTATATCTAATATTACATATTTAAACAAAATTATAAATCAGTTATTTCAGTTACTAATTGTGATCTTTGTTGTAGATATACATTGAAGCTGGTAAACTTGAGACACCTTGAGTAAATTTTTTAGTTTTTCTTGCTTGCCAAATTTTTCTAGTTATTACTATCTTGGTGTATTTTAAATGAACAAATCATTCACTGATGGCATATAGCTAGGCAGTTCATTATTTCCTTTTTATATCTTTAGAACTTTTTTTGTGAAAACAAATAACAAGAAGATTATTTTAATTTTGGTTTATTATTTCAGAATTGAAAATAATGATTTCTATCAATAGTTAATTGATTTTATCAATTCAGTGGATATACTATAAAACAAGACAGGCTGATGCTAGGAAGATAGGAATAGGAAATTGAGAACTATATATCTTTTCAAAAACTTGTGATATGAATGATTTCAGATGTTTGCAATATATTTACTATTACTTTCCTGCATTGTTAATACCTGAGTGAGTATTCGATTAGGGTTATTTAACTCTATGTTGTGCTCTGGTGAAAACATCCCCTGAAATACTTGTTAAGTAAGAGGAAAAGAAATGTTTTTACAGATTTAAATTCTTAGACTTTAGGGTTTTTAAATTTTTATACATCTTTATTAAGGTATAATTTACACACAATAAAATTTGCCAGTTTGAATTATACAATTCAGTGAATTTTGAAGAATGTGTACAATCATGTAACCACACCACAGTCATATACAGAGCATTCCCATCACTCCTGGCTCCTGGCAGCCACAGAACTGCCCTCTGTCCCTAGACTTTTGCCTTTTCTGTAAATGGAATCATGTATGTTGCTTTTTGTGACTGGCTTATTTTACTTTTGAAATTCATCCATATTTTTAAATGTATTATTTTATTTAATCTATGAGAATTCTATTTGCTCCACAGTTTTGACAATCCTTGATATTATTAGTCTTTTTAGTTTTAGCCATTCTAGTGGGTACACATGTAGTGATGTCACATTGCAGTCTTAATTTGCATTTCCCCAGTGACTAATGATGTTAAGCATCTTTTCATGTTCTTATTTAGCATTCCTGCATCTTCATTGGTAAAGTATCTGTTCAAATTTTTGTTGAACTTCTTTTGGGTTGTTTATCTTTTTTTACTTAGTAGAAAGAAGTTTATAAAAATATATTGTAAATATGTCTTAATTATATATGTTCTGCAACTTTTTTCTAACAGTCTGCTTGCATTTTTATTTTAAGTGTCTTTTGAAGAGACAATGTTTTAAAATTTGATGATGTCCATTTAATCTATTTTTTTTCTATTATGGTTCACTGGTCATGTTGTATTATCCTTTCACAACATAGCTGGCTTTAATTTTGTTCAATCAAAAAAATTATTAAATGAGGGATATTCTGTAGCTCTCTCTTCTTGTGTTATCTTTCTGTGGTTTTAGTGTCAGGGTAGTGCTGGCCTCATAAGATTAGTTGGGAAATACACTTCCCATTTCAATAATTTGGAAAAATTTGTGGAATTGGCATTATTTCTAATTTAAATATTTGGTAGAATTCTCTAGTGAAGCCATTTTTAGCTTTCCCTAGTGTAACTCGAGTCAGTATTATGCCACTTCCCGTAGAGTTTGAGAGCCATGCAACAGTGTGCATTTATTTTACCCTTCAGTCCTTTGTGCTATTGGTTTCATACATTTTATTTCTACATATGTTAATAAATGCCACAGTGTATTATTTTTTTACTTACATAGCCAGTTATCTTTTACCAAAATTCAGAAAAATGTCTTTTATATTTACTAAATATTCACCGTTTTCTGTGCTCTTTATTCTTTTGTGTTGATATGAATTTCTATCTTGGATCATATACTTCTGCCTAAAAACCTTTGTATAACATTTCTTCTAGTACAGATCTGTTGGAAATGAATTCTTTAAGCTTTCATCTGGAAGGTCTTTTTTGCTTTTATTTTTATAAGCTATTTTTATTGTGTATGTAATTCTTTTATTATAATTGTGTATGTAGATTGACAGTGGGTTTTTTTTTTTCATCACTACAAAGACGTCACTTCATTATCTTCTGGTTCACATAGTTTCTGATGGGAAGTTTACCATCATTGTTATCTTTGTTTCTCTGTATATAATGTATCTTTTTTCCTTCTAGGTGTTTTTAATATTTTCTTTTTACCACTTGTTTTAGTAGTTTGATTTTGATGTGACTTTGTTTGGTTCTCTTTCTGTTTCTTTTTCAATCTGTGTATTTATAGTTTCCATCAATTTTGGAAAATTTAAGACCATTATTTCTTCATGTATTTTTTTAGTTCCCCTCTCCCTTCTCCTTTCTGGGATCCTGGATACACAAATCTAAGACCAGTTCATAGTGTTCCACAGTCACATTGATGGTCTTTTTAATTATTTCTTAGACATTTTCGTCTCTTTGCTTCATTTGAGATAGTTTCTATTGCTATATCTTTAAGTTAATTAACTGGTATTTTTATTTTTAGTGGGGCTAGTGTATTTTAACTTCAAATACTGTAATTTCATCTCTAAAGCACCTTCTGGGTTTTTAAAAAATACCTTTAACTTCTCTCACCATGTTTATGTTTCCTGTATTTTCTTGGACATAGTGAATATATTTATAATAACTGCTTTAACATTCTTGTCTCCTAAGTACATCATTTCTGAGTCTGTTCCTGTTGATTAATTTTTCCTGGTTATGGATCATATGCTCCTATTTCTTTGCATTCCTTGTAATTTTGTTCGGCTCCTAGATTTTAATTGTATTCCTTTAAATAGTATGAGACATCCTTCTGGTACACAGTTAAGTTAGTGGCAATCAATTTAAGCCTTTCAAGATTTGCTCTTAAGTAGTGTTAGGGTGCATCATGAGCAATTTTTATCTGGTACTAATTTAGTTCCGATACTAAGGTGTGATTTTCTGTGGGCTAATATCCTATGTATTACAGATTCTTTCCATTCTGGCTGGGGATAACATGAAATTTTCCCAATCATGTGTGAGTACTCGAATTACTTGGTTTCACTGCTTTCCTTAGGGTCTTTTCTTGGCCTCAGGTCATTTTTTCTCATCCAAGTACAGGTCAGTAGTTAGCCAAAAACCTTGAGGTACCCCTCTGCACTTCCCCAGAAGCTCTCTTTCTGTGCAGCTTCCTTCTATCCATTTCACTGCCACACAGATTCTAGCTACCTTGGACTATTTCTGCAGTTCAGCAAGACCACTGGTTTCTGTTTGTTTCTTTCACTTGCATTGTTACCTGGAAACTGTATCCAGGCAATAAGCTGGAGCAATTTTGTTTTTTTTCTTCAGACTTTGAAGTTTATTCAAATATTTTCTGAAAGTACATTTAGAGTATAAATCAAAATTGTTGATCCAAGATCCTTTCTTGATAAGGGATTTTGAATGCTCCCAAACGAAGTACTTGGCTTTGGCTCTTTAACCTCATTTGATTTAGCCTTGTGTAGGTTTTCAGGAATGATTGAACTATTTGCATCTATTGATTATTTAGTAAAATATTTTGGTTTATATGTTCATGAAGATGTTATTTAATTCAGCCTATTGATTTCAAAAGGTCAAATTACCTTTTAAGAACTTATGTACTCTTTTTATAGGGGTCAAAATCACCTTCACCAAGACCAAACATGCCTATTCGATACTTCATAATGAAGAGTAGCAATTTGAGAAACCTTGAAATTTCCCAACAGAAGGGTATTTGGTCTACAACCCCTAGTAATGAACGGAAGCTAAATCGAGCCTTTTGGGAAAGCAGCATGGTTTACTTGGTATTTTCTGTTCAAGGATCTGGACATTTCCAGGTGAGCCATCCTGAAACAGTTAGGGTTCTTCTGGCTGTAGGTTAGAGCACAGAAACAGAAACAAAAACAAAAACAAACAAAAAACCTGGCTTTTTATTGCCTTGGAATACAAGTATTCATTCTGCTTGTCTGAGAATGAGGAATGTATTGCACCTCTTGAAAGGAATGACAAATAGAGATCCCATTGCCTTTTTTTGCCTTATCTTACTAGAGCCTCTCCAGATAAATAATTTCTGCTTCTGAAGACAACTGTATATTTCCCATTTCTCAGGTAGATTAAAAGTAATGAGAAGTTTGACTTTTTTTGGTAAAAACGTTTATTTAAATAGGCCAAGAAAGTTAGTATTGACAATCAAGAAACTGAATGTGTGTCTTAACTCATCTTGACTTGATGTATATCTGAATTTACAAAATAATTTATAAAATATTAAATAATTTATTATTTGGAAGTAAAATAATTTGGAAGTGAAAATAATTTATATTTTGGAAGTAAAAACTTAGAGGTTAGATTGTACCCATTTATCATGAAATCACTGTGGGGTTAGAACTATTGATACATTATTTAGAAAATACCTGTCATAATGAAATTATGTTAGTAGAATGAAATTGATCATTCCTATAAAATTTGCTAATAAATCTTTTTATAAAGAACACTTAGTAAGTAGCTCATTTTTTGTTTTTGTTAGCTATATATTATTTTTATATTATATTTTTACCTTAAAAAATAAAAACTCAGAGCTTTCTCAGATAAATTGAATTTGGACATTTTAATACCATCCTCACTTTCACCCTTCCCCCTCATTTTACCCCCAGGGGTTTTCTAGGATGTCTTCTGAGATAGGAAGGGAGAAGAGCCAGGACTGGGGCTCTGCTGGGCTAGGAGGAGTGTTCAAGGTGGAGTGGATACGAAAAGAAAGTCTTCCCTTCCAGTTTGCACACCATTTACTCAATCCTTGGAATGACAACAAGAAAGTCCAGATAAGCAGAGATGGGCAGGTATCCAATGGCATCTTGTAGTTTCATTCTACTTTTTATTTTGTTTTGCTGTAATTCAGTGATTTGAGAAGGAAATGTAAGAATGTATATCATTTTTCACATGCACATAGGAGATAGTGGTTCAGCTTTGTAAAGAGCTAGTAAAAGCCTATTTGTAAATGTCTCTGAGAGAGCTTATTGCTTTTTAAACATTTTGTGTATTTGGCTTCTTTCTTTCATTGCGCGTATAAAATTTTAAGTTCCTTTGTGGAGGCTCCTATTGACTTACTAAGGTATGATCAAAACCAAGTGTAATTCTGAAGTAATTTCACTAAAGTCTAAGGATAACAGCAGTATCTTAGCTCCTTTATGGCTTTAGCTAATTACAAATTTAAAAAATAGCCTTTTTTATTTTTGTGGCCTGTTTTATTTATATTATGTTTTGCTTTGCCTTCATGATGTTGCTGACAATGAATTTAAAACTAGTTAGGGTGATGGGAATTAACATATATGGACTGTTTGTTGTGCTAGCTGCTTTATATGAGGTAATTTAACTTGATGCATTTAGTGACTTATTAGCCCAATTTTATGTAGGATAAAATAGACTCAGAGAAATTAGTCTTTCCTAAGTTCACACAGCTAATAATTTATTTAAATCAGTATGACTCATTTCTGATCACCATATGAAGAATATTGGGATTTTTTTAAAGCACACCATCACTGTGGCGAACTCCAGCCAGCAGAGCCCGCCTGTTGTGACTGAAGACGAAAAAAAATGCACAGGAGACAGCAGTTCTGTGTAGAAAAAGGGGATGGCACAGCTACTCTCTCAAGGGGAGAGCACCTCTGAGTGCCTCGGCTACTCTTTCAAGAGGAGAACGCACCGACCCTTGCCTAGACAGGCTTTTATTGTTTTTCTTGGATTTTCTTGGATTTTCATCAAAGAAGGATTTATTATCTATTACATAGAATATTATTGTCTATATTTTAGGTACATTCAAGGAAATAAAAATAACATGCAGAAGGGAAAGGCAGTGAGCTGATTAGCTCTGTCCTTGGGAAAATTCACACAAGCTTTGGAAATTACCTTGAAGATAGATAATACACATTTGTTGTTTTAGACCAGGGTGAGGGGGTTTTAGCAAGAGCAAGCCATAATGGTCAGTCTTTGTTTTCTAGTTCTGATTCCCACAGGAAAACTCGGTTTGAGGGTCTGGCTCCTGCCCACCACTTCACTTCTGTAGGTTTTCCATACAGAGCTGAGTCACATTTGCCAGACTGAAACAAACGGGTCCCCTACACAGCAGAAAAGGACTATAAATGACATTCTTTTCAGTTGTATAAGAATATTTTAATTTTTATCCTAAATAGTGATTTTGAAATAAATATTTAAAAAATTTTTTGAAAGATTTTTATTTATTTTTAGAGAGGGGAAGAGAGAGAGAAATAGAGGGAGAGAGACATCAATGTGTGGTTTCCTCTCATGAGCCCCCTACTGGGGACCTGGCCCACAACCCAGACCTATGATCTGACTGGGAATGGAACCAGTGACCCTTTGGTTCGCAGGTTGGCACTCAATCCACTGAGCCATATCAGACAGGGCTGATTTTGAAATAAATCTTGTACCTAAAGTAAGAATATTAGCCCTGGCTGGTGTGGCTCAGTGGATTGAATGCCACCCTGCAAGCCAAAAGGTTGCCAGTTTGATTCCCAGTCAGGGCACAGACCTGGGATGCTGGCCAGGTCCCCAGTAGGGGACATGCGAGAGGCAACTGAACATTGTTTCTTGCTCGCTCTCCTTTCCTTCCCCTCTCTAAAAATAAATAAATAAAATCTTTTTTAAAAAAGGAATGTTATATAGTCACCTAAGAGTTTCTTGGGGGGAAAAAACCCCAAAACATCTAATATGCTAGGTTTTACAGTAAACTTTTTGAAGTTTAAGCTGAGTGCTTTTGCTAAATATCCATTAGAAACAAAATTCGTTATTTCTAGCAGAACTCCATGGAAATCTCTTTACCAAGTTGTCATAAATAGTTTTGGTATTTGCAGGTTAATTAGAGTCTTAAAGTCAGGAATTCAAGTTCATAAATCCTAAAGCAGAGAATTAGAGCAATGCATACTATGTAATTTAACATGTTCTGATAGAAAAATGAAACTTAAAGTGATTTTCTTATATTTTTGTCATTATAGGTATTGGTAGTTTAAAAAAAATCAGTCTAGTTCTTTTTATGCTTCTTCTGATTTTTTATTCATCTAGGAACTAGAACCTCAGATCGGGGAACAGCTGCTACAGTTATGGGAACGCCTTCCAACAGGAGAAAAAACCACAACTGATTGACACTCAGGTTATACCATTTCTGACTTTGAGTACTGGCAGTATTTGTGATCATCAAGGATATCTTTCATCTTATTTATCTTTTCTTTTTCTTGAAAAATCTTGCTAGAGCACTTAGTTACGGAAGAATATCATGCCTATTTACAACCACTGAATGCACTGACTTCCAAAAACTTAGATGGGACTGTGTATTATCAATGGGCTCTTCTGGTTTAGAGTATTGGTTTACAACCATCCTTTTCATATAAAAGAGAAAAGGATAATTTTAATTTTTATAGTGATCATAGGGCATGATTAATGTTTGTTAATTATATGTTTCTAATGGAGTAAAATAGTAGTTGTTTCATTACTTGACACAATAGCAATTATCTTCAATATATTTATTTTGATATTGAATTATTTCATTTGTTTAAAATACTGAATTATAATTTTTATTGAGGTTTTTTTTTTAATGCAAAGTTGTTTACTTTTAAGAAAGGCCTGAATATACCAGTACCTCTGAGCACCATTTTAGGAGAGCCAACTCTTAAGATTTATCATTAAAAAACAAGCAAACAACCAAATTAAAGGTTTCTTTTAAAAATAGTGGGCTGATAAAGGACTACGTATTCTGCCATTTTAAACCTGAGATACAGTAAGGAAAAAAAAGAGGGATGTTCTTTCTCTGCAGTTATGAAATGTGGTAAAGTCTGAAGAAAGGCATCATTTCCCGTTTGTGACGAAATTGGATTCAGTGCTTCATTTTCTTCCTGGTTCTGCTCTTTTAACCCGATATGTGCCGTGTCCCTTTCTTCCTCCTGGGTTACAGCCTTCCCTCCTCTCTGATAGGAGCACAGGAATGATGGCTTCTTTGTTTTGTGTAAAGAAACTTGATTTAGACAAGTCAAACATTTAAACAAGTTAAAAAGTGTTCGACAGCTAGTGGTAGTTTTTGGTTGCTGTATATCTTCAAAACTAAAGCCCAGAAGCATCAAAATTCTAAATTGCCATCTATTTATTTTCCAGTACTTTTTATCCTTATGTTTTTGGATATGGTTTCTCTTTTTTTTGCATTTATGGTTTAATAAGTGGGGGAGTGGTGGTAATTTTTTGTAAACTTGTGTCAGTGCCATCTATCTACTTCTTTGCCATTTCAGAATTATTTGGTTTGTAGTCTTTACCATCACTGTCTATAAAGTTTCCTAAGAAGTCTTTTTGAAGGGAAATAGAGGTACAAGTAAAAAAGAAAGAAATGCCTTGGTTACTGAGCTCTAAACAGAACAGGTTTAATAGCACTTCTCGTGATACATGTAGGTCATTGCTATATAACAACAACAACAACAAAAAAAACACCATGAAATTAAAGACAAGAAGAAAACTCCAAGTCATCTGCTTCTATATTTGAGAACAAAGAAGTAAAATTATATGTCAACATAAAACCTTGAGAACTCTTCTACTTTCTCTGTGAAAGCACTGTGTGTTGGTGCATTAGTTTAGAATGACAGCTGTGATTTCTGCTTGTATTTGTAGTCATTTTGTTTTTAAAAATGTGTTTATGTCATACTTTGAGACATACCTAAAAATTGAGCCTATGTGAAGTCTGCTCCATTATATGTGTATTATAGTTCTTTTTCTACTAGAGTCACTTGTGTTTCTCTGATAATGTTTACATTTTAAGTATATATATCTAGCAGTTCATGGTGTTCTAAATTTGAAAGTTGAGGAATTTTAAAACTTCTTGTAATTTCCTTCTGTTTTCTAATATTTATCCCTGTATGTAAATGATGAGTTTGTTGATATTTAAAATGAATATAATTTGAATGTAATTAAAATGCTGTTTTTGGAAAAGATGAACTTGAAATATACATCTTACATGAAATTCTATTAAATCATTTATAGCTTGCTATTTCTGATACTATATAATAGGACTAAGGAAACAATGATCAGCAATATCCCTTGAGATACTCATGAACTTCAAGTACCTTGAAGGATATTAAATTGATATAGAAGGTGATGGTTTCATATTAATATCCCCTGCTCAAGAAAAAAACATTCTTATTATGGGGGATGGGAAAATCTCAAGACACATAATATAAAGTCTTTTGAATATTAAGAAACTATTCAGTTACCTACCCTCTGTTCTTAGGATACTTCATTATGGTAATTTGCTATTGTATCTACTGAACACCCAGCCTCACTCTACCAATTACAGCAAAGACAAGCAGTAAGGAAAGAATAAACTTAAATGAATATTTCAAGAAAAGACAGATTCTTCAAGAATTTGTCCTCAGAGACTCATTCTTTACCATTTAAAATCTTATATCCTAAAACAGAGAAGGTCTTAAGGAGCAAGTGAAATGAGCCTCACCCTTGAGTCAGCACCAGGGCAAAATATTGTAACTGAACATGTAACTCCCAAGTGACTACACTTCCCAGTGTGAGTAAGCCTCCCATAGTAAGACCTTCACTGTGCTCCAGAACTCTCCACAATCCCGCTCTACTCAAAGGACCACACTGTGTCAATATGCCCAAGGCTACTGGATGCTTCTTGGTATTTCAGCCAAGTATGAAATTTCCACTTGGCAGTCTGATAAAATCTCAAATTCTGCATATTCAGAATTAAACCGACAGTTGTTTCCCCACAGCTTGCTCCACCAAACCTTTCTGTCCTTTTTTCAGTTGATGCCAATTCCATTGTTTTGCTTGCTCAGGCCAGAAACTTGGAGTTATCCTTGGTGCCTTTCTTTTTCTCAGTCCAGTCCTTCAGAAAATTTTCCTGGATCTACTTTCAAAATACTTCTAAACTTCAGCTGTTTGTCACCACAACTGTTACAACCACTCTGAACTGAGCCACCATCATTTACACCTGGGTTATTGAAACAGCTTCCTGAGATGTCTTCTTTCTTCTGTCTCTCTCTGCTGCCACCAATCTGTTTTCAACAGAAATTTTAAAACATTAAATGAGTTAATGTTATTGTGTTGCTCAAAACCCCGCAATAGCTTTCTATTTCACTCAAAAGCTGAAGTCTGTAATGGCATAAATACCTTACATGATCTGGTCCCCCATTCTGTCTCGGACCTTCTCTCTACTCATTCCACCTTTGCCACATTAACCTTTGCACTCTCCCTTGACTATCGCAGGCATGTCCCAGCCTCAGGGGCTCATTTTATCCATACACTCTGCCTGGAATGCTTTTCTCACATTATCTGTGTGGCCAACTAGTTACCATTTAGCATTAGGTTTACTGTGAAGTTTTTTTTTAAATTTATTTGACTTTTAGGATTAACATAAATTAACTTTTTAAAAGATATATAGCTCTGAATTTTAACACATGTACAGATTTATGTCTTTTACCGCATGAGGGAACACTTCCATCACTTTCCCCCAAATTCCTTCATGCTATCCCTTTGTAGTTATGTCCTTCTCTTAGCCCTAATCCCTGACAGCCATTGATCTGTTCTCTGACACTCTAAATTTCTCCTTTTTAGAATATCACATATAGAATTATACAGTATGTAGCTGTTTGGGACTGACTTCTTTCACGCAGCATAATGCCTTTGAAATTTATTCAAGTTGTTGTGTATATCAGAGTTCATTTCCAGACGTCTGGTCAAGATGGCAGAGTTAGGTAAACACTGTGCTTGCCTCCTTCCAAAACTACAACACAATTACAAATAAATTATAGAACAACCATCATTAAGAATCACCAGAGGACTAGCTGAACATAAGTCTATAAGGATATAAAAAAGAAGCCATGTCGAGATTGGTAGGAGGGGCAGAGACAAGCAACAGGCAGGTCCCACAACCATGGTATGGTGATTGAGAATTGTGAGGGATGTCTCAGCTGCAGAGGTCTCCCTTGAGCACTGGGCCCCAGTCCCACCCTGGGCTCCCTAGTCCAGGGCTCCATTGCCATGAAGAGGAGTCTTCATAACATCTGGCTGTGAAAACCAGTAGCGATTGCATCCAAGTGAGATGGAGGGCTCGTGGAGACCTAGGTGCTGCAGGTCTTAAAGAGCCCAAGCACAGACTCACTCACAAATTTACTTGCTCTGGGCTCTAGCACAGGAGCAGCAGGTCAAAAAGTGCAAGGGACACATGGGGTGGAATTAAATTGACCAGTTTGAGGGTGAGGACTAGAAGAGCGGGGGTTAGGGCGAATTTCTCTGGGGATGGAAGTGCTGGCAGGTACCACTGTTTCTTTATTGAGCCCACTCAGGTGGTCTGGCATCAGGCACCAAATCTGAGCTCTCCATTAACCCGCTAACTCCATTTGCAGCACTCAACATGGCATTTCACCCACCTTCTTCCAGCAGATCCTTTGCACAAAGCAGCCAGCCTCAGTTCATGCTGTGAACTTTTCTAAATTCTCTCAAAGGCTCACAGACTTCAAACAAGTAGCACCTGGCCTAGGTGTACACTCTACCTCTTGCTGTGCCCCAAACCTGGTATAAGCTCTGACAGGTCTCAACTTGCATTATAACTCCCATTAGATAACCCCAAGCCTGGCATAAGCAGTAGCCAGTCTTGGCTTGGAAAGTTGGCTCAATTAAGGGGCCACAAACCTGGCAAAAGTGGCAGCTGGCCTCAGCTCATACCATAGTGCCTACCAAGGGGTTCTAGCCTGACACTAGTGGAAACCAACCCCAGTTTATAGAATAGGCTTACCCAAGCTCTTCCTGGCCCAGCACAAGTGACAGCCTACCACAGATCACTTTGTAGCTCTTACCAGACAGTGCCAAGCCAGGCACAAGCAATAGCTGACTATGACCTGTGCCAGAGCCCCTCCCATGAGGCACCAGAACCAACATACCTGGTGGCTGGTTCAGACCATAGCAAAGTACTACCCAATCAGCTCCACAAGTGACAATCTCAAAGGGTGAACTTGGCTGCACTAGAGCTCTGCTAATGTGACTCTCAACGTATAGGGTTAGGCCTGGCAAAACAGCTCATCTGCCTCATCTGTTGTAGTCATGGACAGTCCTCACAGCCAGTCAGCATGAGGGCCAATTCCACCACTGATGTGCCAACAGCAATCAAGGCTCAACAACAGGAGGCACGTACAACCCACAAAAAGGACACTCCTAGAACATCCAGCTCAGGTGACCAGGAAGACTGCACCATTGGGTCCTACAGGACACCTACTACATAAAGCCACACTGCTAAGACCAGGAGACAAGGCAGATCTACCTAATACATAGAAACAAATACATGGAGTCAGCCAAAGTTAGGAGATAAAGAAACATGTCCCAAATGAAAGAACAGGGCCAAGCTCCAAGAAAAGACCTAAATAAAATGGAGGCAAGTAATCCACCAGATGCAGAGTTCAAAACACTGGTTACAAGGCTGCTCAGTGAACTTAGGGAAGGAGTAGATAGACCCAGTGGGAACTTCAGCAGAGAGGAATCACAAGAAAAGGAGATAGAAAACAAAAAGGGACCAATCAGAAATGAATACAACAATTGAAAAATACAGGGAATCAACAGTAGATTACATGAATAAGGGGTTGAATCAGTGATTTGGAAGACCAGGTAGCAGAAAACACCCAACTGGAAGAGCAAAAAAGAAAAAGAATCTAAAAAATTGAGAATAGTTCAAGGGACCTCTGATACAATATCAATTGTACCAACATTCACATCATAGGGGTACCAGAAGGAGAAGAGAGAGGACAAGGGATTAAAACCTATTTGAAGTAATGACTGAAAACTTCCTTCTCTTAGTAAAGGAAATATATAAGTCTAGGAAGTACAGAGAGGGTCCCAAAGATGAACCCAAACAGGCCACACAAGCACACATCATGATTAAAATGCCAAAGGTTAAAGACAAGTAGAAAATCTTAAAAGCACCAAGAGAAAAACAGTTACATACAAAAGAACTTCCATTAGAGTGTCAGCTGATTTCTCAATAAAAATAGACTGCTATAAACATAGGTTGGTGTATATGAAGCGTAAGATAACCACAAACCAAAAGTCTGTAAGAAACATACAAATAAAGAGAAAGGAATCCAAACATAACACATTAACTTAGAAGCAAGAGATTAAGAAAGGAATGCAGAACTACAAAAACAAAACAATGAAATGACTACATAACTATCAAAATAACTTGAATTAGATGTTCAAATCAAAAGACAAGCTGTTTGAATGGGTAAAAAAACAAACAAAAAAACAAACACATGCATATGCTTCCTACAAGAGAACAACTTCAGATAAAAAACACATATGAAAGTAAGTGGAAATGGAAAAAAAAAGCTGGGGTAGCAATTCCTATACAACTTACACATTTTCTAGGATAAACCATATATTAGGCCACAAAACAATAAAGTTAAGATTGAAATCAAGTATATCTCTTATCACAATGGTATGACACTAGAAATCACAAGAAGAAAATGTTAACAGAAAAAAATGCAATAAAGATTAAATTGAAAGAAAACTGAAAAACGTAAATATATGGAGGCCAAATAACATGCTACTAAACAGTAATTGGGTTAACATTGAGATCAAGAAAGAAATCAAAAGATACCTTGAGATAAATGAAAATAAAAACACAATTACTCCACATCTTTGGGACACAAAACAGTTTCAAGAGGGAAATTCATCGTGACACAGGCCTAACTTAAGAAACAAGGAAAATCTCAAACAATCTAACCATACATCTAAAGAAACTACAAAAATGAAGCCCAAAGTAGAAGGAAATAATAAAAAAGTGAAAGTAAACAAAATAGTCTAACAAAAATGGTACAAAATATTGATAAAATTGAGGATGATACTTTGAAAAGATAAGCAAAATTGATAACATTTAGTCAGATTCAGCAAGAAAAAAAAGAGAGGGCCCAAATAAATAAAATCACAAATGAAAGAGGACAAGTGACAACTGATACCACAGAAATAGAAATATGAG